ATAAAAAACAAATTAACATTACCGCCGGAAGACAATAATAGCATTAACTTATATGGATCACATCACAGCGATAAGTAATCTTTTCCTCTATTGTTATTTTCTGTAGAATACATTTTTATATACAATAAAGAAAGATAATAACATACGGATGTACATCATTTTAAATACGACCGTACGTACTTTAATTAACAATGAGAGACATACGTGTTGTTATTTAAACAGTATTGTTAATCATAACCCCCACATTGGATTTACATACTATTATAAATCATAAAATTATATTGTGCTAAATATAGTCATAATATCATATTGTGCTTTAGTAATATATTTATATTATGCTTTAGTATTATAAATAAAGTCATAAGCTTTGAACAGCTCATGATAACATTTACAGTATTTTGTTTTAATTTTACTCTAATACAAAACTAGCTTTACCTAACAATTGTGAGCGGCAACCTAACTTTATTCAATTTCTATTTTAGCTCCAGCCTAAACTTGTGTTAGCCTTGCCATAGCTCTATTCTAGCTCTGCACTAGCCCAAATTTTACACTACTATATCATTACCCAATAGTCTTTTTCTAACCCTACTATAGCCGTATAATCAATCTTGTCTAAGCCTAAGTCGACTCTACGCTTATTGTAGCTCTACCACAGTCTTATTCTATAGTTCCCCTAGCTTGATTCAAGCCCTACCCAAGCTTTAAAACCTGTGTCACATGAATGTTTAAAAAAACCTTTTTTAAAGTTCAAGATTAAAATTAGTATTTAAATTCACTGTTAAAAATAGTTAATACCTTTGAAAACGTGTTTGAAAAGCGTCTAAAAAAGCTAGATTAAAGAAAAATTTTACAAATTTAGAAACTGCAGAAAGATATTTTATGGTATTTAGCGTTTCCAGACGGTTTGCACGTTAAAAAGTTGTTTGCGAAAACAAAATAAAGTTTTTATTGTTATTTATAATGAATATAGTCCCCGTCAATTAAAAGGGCAGCCTTCGTTCTCTGAGATGGCAACACCTAAACAAAAAATTTTTTCTATTATCGATAGACCGATGATTTTCATGCAGATTTTTAAAAAATCAAGAATTTTGTTTTTATTTTACGAGCTACAGAAATTATTCAAATTTTCAAAGCAGCAATTAAAAGGGAAGTCTATAAAATATTCAAATATGATGTTTACTTTATGAAGTATTTCTTTGTAAAACATGTCTTTGCGAGTTTTTGGACAGTGAATATGTTATCGGAAGTCCAGAAACGAAGAATCATCGACTTGTACATTGATATTGGCAGTTGCAACATAGTGGTTGAAAGGTTGGGTCATTCCGTTATGATTGTACTGAAAGTGATCAAGAAAATTTCACGGAGGCAAAGAAAACGACCACCACCTCCCAAGTTAATAGATGAACGAGTTGGAACAAATCATACAATTCATTTCAGCCAAAATTACTGCAGGACATCCAATAAACTCAGGAATGGTAATCAGTGAGTTGAATACGTTCGTTTTGATACGTTCTAAAAGTGTTGTGCAACGGTTTCTGAAGACAATTGATGTGCAATATCAAAAAACTCGACAATTACTGGAATTAAGCCCTAATCATCGGCAAGCGCGAATGACGTTTGCCAATAACCACTTACGAAGTTCTACCAACTTTAAGAAATGGATTTTCACTGACGAAAAAAGTTTCTGTGGTGACAGGACTGACAATATGGGGAAATGTGTATTCAAAAATTCATCTCACCCCCCTAGATTCCGCCATCAAGGTGGTTTGGTTAACGTCATGGTTTTTGGAGCAATGGCTTTTAATGGGCACGGATTTATTAAAGGTATGTAACTGTCTATCGTATATAATGTGTGACTGACAGGTCATAGACGGTTGCTACACCTCTGCTCGTTACTTGGAAGATCTAAAGAACGAGATTATACTGTGGTGTTTGGTTCAATTTTCCGATGGTGACTTCGTTTTTCAACAAGACAACTGTTCTATTGATTGCGCAAAGATCATTAAAGCCTATTTTAGTAATAAAATATTCAAATCTAAAATGTGGCAAGCGAAGAGTCCAGATTTGAATATCATTAAAAATTTTTGGGCCCATATGAGCCTGGCCGTCTACCCGCCTGGCCAGTACATAAAAAAGCGTAGTTAATCAATGCCATCATGGATGCTATTAAGGATTTGTACAAGTTGATTCCGGGTCGATTGGTGAATGTTTTGGTCAAAAGTAGCAATACTATATAATATATTTGTTTCGTATTCATAAAGCTTTCCTTTTAATTGCTGCTTTGAAAATTTGAATAATTTCTGTAGCTCGTAAAATAAAAACAAAATTCTTGATTTTTTAAAAATCTGCATGAAAATCATCGGTCTATCGATAATATAAAAAATTTTTTGTTTAGGTGTTGCCATCTCAGAGAACGAAGGCTGCCCTTTTAATTGACGGGGACTATATATGCGCCGGCAACGTCACTAGGATACATGAAGAGGATGAACGAAAGTGGACCTGCCTGTAAACTAAAAAAATTTAGCTCACCCCTCATAATGTTATGCTACCAACACCAAAGATATTATGACATTAATAAGATTAACAAGTAAAAAAAAATTTTTAAACCTGTTTTTTAACAAATGTATGTTCTATTATGCCTACCACGCATTTCTCTAGAATATTCAAACGTTTGTACATTACTTGATTGTAACATAGCCACTTAAAAATGTGCATATACAAAACGTTTTAAGAATATCTGAATGCAGATGAATAAAAGTGCTTATCATATAACTTTATGTTACTTATTTACGGTGACAATATTATAGTTATCTTTATATTAACTACATTATCAATGTCTGCGCTAAAAAAGATAAATTGTGCTATATTATACAATAACATTGGTTACAATAAAACACTTCTATTAAAATTTTACTAAAGATACTGTCATTCTTTGTCTTTGTTATGTAGTATACAAGCACTTGTAAGTTATTGTATAATCAAAGAAATAAAGCCAAATTTGTAGGCAATAAACGTACAATAGAAACACTGTGTAATGCAAAGTGCTAACTAGTAACCAAACTAATTGTAGTGTCTTGAAAATACAATGCCAACTCAGAGAATGATAGACAATAATAAGTACAAAACAGACATATGCTGGTTTTAAAGCAAACATACAATAAAATCACAAAAAAATTGCCTACAGTAAGCAAAATTACCCTAGATTTAACCTAGTATGATCATATCTTCATTTAAATCCTAAAATAGCTCCGTATTTTATTGCCATAACTCTATTTTAGCTCTTCCCTAGCTCGGCTGCAACTATACCATACCCTTTTGATATAATATAACCCTCTGCTAGCCTTACTTTAGCCCACCCAAGCCTTTCCTAGCTCTACTTTTACTTCAATCTGGCCTTGGCCCTAACCTACCCTACCACTATAGTAGCCTTACCATTCCTTAATAAAACTATTACAGTAACCGATTTTATGCAAGTTGACGTTGTATTTAAAAAATTTTATAATAAAAACAAAAAATTGAACTTTTTCACAATTCGATACGACAAACAAAAATACTTAGCATCAGGTTAATGATAAGAAGCTCATCAATTAGGAAATTGTTGATAAGACCAAGCCGGTCATTTTAGTCACACAAATATTATACTACTTTTTTTCTTTGTTGCATACTGCAATGAAAGGGATAATTCTATTTCTAGGCTGCTATAGGACTACGGTGGGGCAACGGTAGAGTAATAGTAGGAACATAGTCAGTTTAAATCACCGTTACTTTGATACTTGAAAAAGTTTTTAGGTATTATAGAAAGCGTATAGATAGTAAGCAAACAAAATTTTTTGGACTTTATATATAGTATTAGTCTTACTGCAACATGTCATATATAGACAAACATATCTAATCCGTTTCTTATATATATGCTCGTTTATACATGGTATTTGACAGTAATTTCAGTAGCCATAAAAATCACCATATACACTAGTGTAATATATAAGAAAATACTTTTCATCTCGTAATAAAATTACCAACAACATGTTTTATAGCATACAATAGATATGATATGCAATGGAAAATGTATAATACACAAAAAAGTATTATACTCAATAGAAAATGTTTTTTGACATACTAGGATATTGTATCAATTCTTAGAATTCTAAGAATAATTAGGTATGATAAACAATATGTATAAATATGTAGTAGGTTTGTAAAGAATACGATTGCCATTTGTTTTTTTATAAGATTCTACAATTATTTTTGACAGTAGTGATATATATAGCAAATTATGGTAGGTTATCAGTAATATATATATATGTAGAAAATAAAACAGATTATCGTAAAGCATAGTGGAGTAAAAAAGAAGGCGAGCTAAGCCTACATTAATAGTTAGACAAACATATAATATTATATTAGACCTTATGGCATTATTAACAGTTATACACAGTTTTCATGCCTTGTGACATTATAGTAAGTTTCACACTTACAATTATGTTAAAATATAAAAGTTGCTATTAAATGATTTTAATAAATGGTTTAGTTACTGTATGTAGGCTACATAAAATCAGTATAAAGTAACATGTTATTATGCCAACGTTTAAAAATTTTTTTTACTATCATAATTATACGTTTATAAATTTACTCTACCATGCAACTTTTCTACTGTACCGTGCCACTGCCAAATCTTATATGTAACGTCTCATATCTCTACCGTAGTATACACATGACCTATTGTCTTCTATCCATAGTAATTAAACATACCAATTAACCCAAACGTGCATTATAATAACTACATTTAGTCAACGTGTCATTTACAGGTTGTAAAAGTATACATTTCGCGATAATGATAAGTTTGAAAACGTTTCAGTTAACTACAAGTTTCTCAACATTTTCAGTTGTAAACATATCACAATCGTATCCTGCCAAAAAACTTTACAATTAGTGCTTCATTAACATAATACATGTAAAACCAGGAAATATTGTAAATATTTAAAATCGTCATTCAAGAGTACAAAATGAGACAACGGGTGACGTCATTGTTAAATATTGATGACTGGGAAGTAAGTTACTAATTCTACAGTAAGCTTTTTCTACATCCTACCCTACTCTACTCTACCCTACCGTACTCTGCTTTTCTCGTGCCCTACCCGATCCTTGTTTACTGTTTTGTGTATGCCCTGGGAACCTTACTCTATCCCACCTTACTTAGCATTGAGACACCCTAACCTTCCAATAACTTTGCCTTACAATTATTAAGCCTCCAGACAACCCTTCCTAGCTCTATAATATCCCTACCCTAAAAACAACTAGCCCTGACAAATATAAGTTATCATTTGATCACGCTACATCTCACAGCATCAGCATACAGCAACATGACACTTTTGTTCAAGCAGACCATTACCTATAATAAGTTAATTTCAGAAAACTGTAAATATCATAGCGATTGGTCATATTGTATTACACATGATCTTCCTTGCATTTGAGATTTATTCGGAACATTGGTACGGCGTTTTCGGATCGTGTTTAGGAATTGTCAGCTGTGTAGCATTGGCATATGGTAACAAAAAGAGATCTCCATTACTGTTTCTACCTTATTTATTGTTTTCGGTAGGTTTTTAGTTTTTTAAGTATCAACCTATATTACCCTTGATTTTTGTAAATTTACTAAGACACATGACTATGACATCCTAAAAAACCTTTTTAGACATTTCTTTAACACTCTCTATTTAATTTTCGCCAAGAAAGCCAATTCCATCTTTAAAACTTAAAAAACCCCATTTCAGACAGTACTAATAGCAGCCTGGCTAGGTGCAGCCGTATATCTAATAGCAGAAGCTGTGGATTCAGACGAAGATGTTCACACATTACTACGATATCAATCACCAACAGTCGCCATTGTGATGGGATCGATTGAAATCGTTATATCGTTAGTACAAGCTGTTGCTTTAGCATTTGTATTTAGAGCAGGAAATTTACTACGTAAAAATGGGTTTTATTAAAGTTAATAAATAGAAATTAAAAAAGTTTATATTTAAAAAAATGGCTCATACATATTAAGACAACCTGGTATTTAAAACTTTCTCTAGAAATTTTTCTCTACCTAGACATGAGAAACGGGTCGGGCTTGAGCAAAATTTTATGGGACCGGACTTGAATGTTAGGCCCGGCCCGTTCGTCATGTCTATCTCTACTCTCCTCAAAACAAAATAACACGTCCGGTAAATATTATATTATAACTACAGTTTGAAGTATTCACTTTGTAATAAAATCTATACATCAAAATATCAAAAAAAAATAGTACAAACTCAATTTTCAATTTGTTTATTGACATATATGTATATATTATATATCATATGTATTTATATTGATATGATTAGCAAAATCCATAAAAAAAGTTTACGATTGAGACATTTTCGTTAAAAAACATAATTTTAAAGCTACATTTGATCAAGAAATCATTAGAATGTATAATATTAATATAAAATCAAAGTGTCATGATAAGACAAACACAATAAAAATTGGGATAAGAAGTTTAACCACTATAAAATTTTAAATAAAAAAAAGTAAAAGTCAAAAATTAGCTCGTTTATATATATTTTGATTATGAATAATAGATACAAATATACAAAAAAGTATATATAATATAAAGACAATTGTCAAAGCAAAAATATTACCACGTATTACTTGTTACTAAACTCGGTTACTAATGTCAGCATCGGAAATAGGCGTATTTTTCATTAGAATTACGTCTAACTGTTCTATTATGAAGCCTAAACCCTCCTATCAAAATGCTTAACTTTACAAATTGTTAGCTGACTCAAGGTTTAAATTTACCATAAAAACGACCCTAACATAAGTTTAATCCTTCCGAAATGAAGCCTAAACCAAAAAAAGCATAGCTAAATAAAAAACCAATTCTAACTTAAGCCTAATTCTCCGAAAATCCTACCAAATTCACCCAAAGATAAGCCTAACATTCTCTACATCAAGCCTAACTCTTCCTATACACAAAACCAAAGACCCCAAAAAACGTCCCTGCACAAAACCTATTCCGCATACGCCAAACCCATGCAATATAAACCTAGGTTTGATCATCACAATGCGGGTAACATTCTCCAATATCCGGCTCCGATAGGTATGGATGTACTCTAGCATCCTTCGGAAAGTTGGTGCCGCTCATTTTTTCAAAATTACTTAGCTCTTGACGTATCACTTCGTATGAAACCCGCTTATTGAGACGGTAATGCCAGCCAGAGTAGCCTTTGCCACATTCTGTTAGGTTGAACATTTGCTGAAGATATGATTTGGCTTTAAGTGTTATGTTATAATAAGTGATGAAACATTTATAGGTTTATATTATTTTAATTAGCAGAAACGTTATGATATCATGTTTTAACAGACCCTATAACATGTATATCCTTATATTGTAGTAGGTAAACAATTTCATGTTTCAAAAACTTCAAAAACCCCATACCGAGTATGGTGATTCCCACCCATCAGCACCAATGGCTTGTGCTTTCCATCCATGTAGCATAAAGTCGTACTCTGACCATTTGTCCGTTGTTAAATATCCATCTCTGATGAAGCTGTGAGCTCTTCTGGCTATTTTGATTTTACCTGGCCATATTCGTTGTGCTCCTAAACCATTTATTTTAGTAAATATTTGAAGGCTAAAGCTCGTATCTCTACTCTCCTCAAACAAATTTACACTAAATACTACCAAAATAAATATTGTTTTAGCCATAAAGAACTTATAAAGTTATATATTACACAATATAACCTTTAAAAACCTAAAATATTACCTAAATTAATGGTAAAAGATAAAAAAAGCCTTTGACTTTCAATAATCTGACCAAACCCAATATCTTAAAAACAATAAAACCCAAATATCTTACCATTGCCAACCCGAAAAACCAAAAACCTTACCCAGCATAACCTTAACACAAGTAACATAAGCCATGTAGGTATCGTATCCAGTTCCACGTAGCCATATGCTTTCACAAGCCTTAATCTCAGCTTTTGCCCCAGGCATTACACTTTGAAGTATATGAATTTGAAGTACACCATTGTCAGCACCATTCCAATTCGCTGGTTGAGTATACTGCCAATCTGCCCATCGGCGAAGAAAATCACGAGCAAAAGGAGTGTTTCGGACCTAGAATTAGCTTGGTATTAGGTAGGGTAAGATTAAAATAAAAAACCCACCAAATAATTGCCGCTAGCGATTTCCCAATTGAAAAACCTTTCATAAAACACCAAATCCACTCTATCATCAATATACTCCTCAATACAATGATTCGGATTCACAACTCCAGCATCCGCATCCAAAACCAGCATCCAATCAGCATCTTCCAGATATACTGAAGCTGCGCAGTGTTTTTTGAAGAAAAGCTGATCATGAGGACAGTTATCATTAACTCGAGTATCATTGTACAAATCGACCAAAAGCAATGTGTAGTTGGCAGATGCTAAATAGCACTTCAAGGAGTCTTGAGCTACTTGGTAGTGACTGAAAATTTTATTTTTTAAGTACCAAATAAAGTTTAGGTAATAAAAAGTCAATTTTATATTTTTTAGGTATCAAAACACAAAGAAAATTCATTTTCACATTGATTTAGACAACAAAACACACAAAAATCCTTTTTATATTATTTTAGGTAACAAAACACCATTAATATTTAAAAACTTCACGAAAAGCCAAAATAACTTACGTTTCATAACTACTCTTCATATAAGCCACAAACACCACAACTTTGCCAAATAAAGGTTGACATACTCCCATATTGAGCCGTTTCGGGTAATTTGTCCGATTCACCTCACCGGCCACTAAATACCTCTCCAAAGTGGCATTATGACCTTTGAAAGTCTTGTTCTTATCAAGCTTTACTACTCCAGCTAACTTATCCTTCTTCAAATCCGCTAACTTCGAATTTTTATCCAGTTTTTTCTCGAATTCGGCTAAACTTTCGACTGGTTGATCTTTCAAACTCTTCTCAATGTCTTCTATCGCTAATGGCTTTTGTTCGGCTTCTAAATCAGCTTGTTTTACTGTCCAATCATCTGCTGCCATCTGCTTAAAAAGTGGAACTGATGGTGTGGCTCGGCCTTCCCATGAATTGTCGTATTTGGTTACCACAAGGAAAATGAGTGCTGCTGCCAATAGAAAAGTGTATACAAACTAAAATAAAGATAGTTTGAACTTGAGATGTTATATTTTGGTTTTTATATATTCACTTTAACCGTTCTTAACGTAACTTCCCTGTTTTAACAACTAAACTTTGAAAAATCGAAACGTTGCTATCATAAATAAGATAAAACCCAATATTTTGAGGTTCCTCAATGTATAACCGCAAAATTCATTTTACATTTATCAAAAAAGACCTTCCTCTGTCAAATTCAAATAACTTTACTGTTATAAAACTCTAATGAACCATTCAATTCATATCTTAACCATCAAAATCAAAATTTTGATATCATAGACAAGATAAACCTCAACATTTTTATGTTTTCAACGTAAAACCTCAAGATTCATATTATATTAAACAAAAAAGCCCTTATTACATCTATAACAGTGAGTTTCACCTTCAAAACACCTCATTTCCCTTCAAATATTAACCTAAAAACACCAAAACTCAATGAAAATACTCAACTTACCAGTCGATTAATCGAAATCCCGCCACAAACCGCCATTTTCCCAGCCCGATGACCAAGACAAAATGGCAGAATGTACCGTGAAAGCCCTGCAAACATAACATTAGTTGATTCATAGATTAAACAAGCAAAAATCCATTAAAATTGATATTATCCACCAAAAACCCATTAAAAAAACAGATAAACCAATGGAAATTGAACTTTTATTCGACTCGGGTGATTGTATAGACAACAAAAACACCTTGCTAATGATAAATATAACGATGGGAAAAATGCGCGACACCAAATTGTTTAGATTTTTTCGAAAAGCTTTGGGAAGGTAGTGTAATATAATTTTTAATAAAAATAAAGATTTTTTTAAATTTAGAAAAGTTGTATTTTTAAGTTACGACAAATAAAATTTTTTACTTTTGGCCATTCAAAGTTCGACAAACAAAATTTCTACGTAGTAAAGTTTTCGTTGCGGTACCAAAGCCTTACATCAGAAAAGTGAATATTGAAATGTAAAATACGAAGAGACTTGTCTTTACAAATAAGATAAACAATATTTTCGTACTTTCAAAGTTATCTTTAGAATATGTAAAAAAATATGACAAATATGAACTCTACTAAATACAATATCGGTGAATTTCATGCCTCCAGTTCAAATTTAAAATTCAAAATTGTTTCAGACACAAAAATTAATCTTCAATTTCCTTTTTATAAACTTAAAAATAAGCTTCGATTACTTGTCGTTGATCCATGACCAGAGTTTTTTCGACCGCGAACAAGCCATTTTTCGGCTCATTCGCTGTTATTGTTGCGTAACGCTACTTTTTGTAATTCTGTCGGTCAAAAAAACTGAAAATTTTTGAAAAAATGAAAATTCAGGTCTTTTTTTTCATTTATAAACTTTAAAATATTATTAAAAATTTAAAACTAATGTAGAAAACTCTGTCTATAAGCAAAAGGGACTCATTCACAAAACAAATAAAAGTTGCTTTTAAAAATGTAGTTTAACAAAAAAATAAAAGTTAGTGTCAAAATTATCATAACGGTAGCAGTAATCCGTGTAGCAACCTGAACTCCGCAACAACAATGGGTATTAAACATACCTGACCTTATTTCGTATTACGCGCGCAACGGTTTTAAACTTTACGTCAAGTCGATTTTAATTTCCGTTTCAATGTCACGCCGCAACGAAAAGCATTAACAGTCTACGAAACGTAAGGTAGTGAGGTTGAGGGTCGTACTTTTGAGTTTTGACGGTTTTATAATTTTAAAATTTCTTTTTGGCGCTATAGGTACAATAGACAAGAGATACGTTTTCAAAGTAAAGCTAAGCCTATGTATATTATGTTTAAGCTTATCAAGTCTAAAGCTACCAAGGCCAACTCTGAACTTAATTAACTTAAGCCAAAGCATACTAAGTACTAAGCCTATTCAACCTAAGCCTACTAAGCCTAAGCCGAATTATACTAAAGCTGTGCCTATTGAACTTAAATCTAAATTTATTCAGCCTAAGCCAAGGCTTGCTTAACGTAAACCTACTAAGCCTGCCAAATACAAGCTTTCCAAGCCTTTTACCTAAGCCTACTACACATAAATTGACTTACCGTATGCCTGATTTGTTTAAGGCTACTAAGCCTAAACCTAGTAAATTCTAGCTTAAGCACACTCAGCCTAAGCCAAAGCCTAAATATAAACCTACTAACCAAGCTTACTATCTTAAGACTACTAAGCCTAAACCGAAAAAGCACAAACCTAACCTTTTATACATAAGTCTACTGGCCTAAGAACACTAATCCTAAACCTAAACTTTTCTTTAAAAATCAACCTCCTTCAAAAATTTAAACAAACATACAGTAACCCTGCAACCTGTAAACTATGCGAAACCTATGAAAAGTAAAAAAGAGCGCCGGAATCGATCCGAATTCAGGGGATAATTGCCGAACTCAGACGGATATCTTATGTCAACAAAGGGTTGTTCGAAATTGTTTTCATAACTAATACAACACAACTCTTTTTTCAATAGTAACCTTATTACAAGTTGTTTTTAGAGTATCTAGACGGTAATAAGTGGCTGTGAAAGTATTATATATTACTAGGCTAAAAAAGACTAAAAAACTGAAAAAGTTGTGTCGCTAAATTGCATTGACTTTTGTGTTGAAAAACGACAAGACTTTTTTTTTGACATTTTAAAAGATATATAGGTTGAAAAATCGTATTAAAATGCAAAAAATTAGTTAAAAACCCTGTGGCAAGAAAAGAGATTTTGAAAGTATAATAAAAGATGATTTTCAAAAATAATTTTACAAAATTCGAAAAATTCGTTTTTTAAAAAATATCATTACAATGTTCGTTGGACAAATGCTCATTTAAAGATCAATCGGAAGCTGACGTCAATAATAACCATGATGGAACAAAAAGTCAATTTTAAAATTCATTAAAATGAGCCAAAGAATTTAAAAAAAAATATAGATTACAGTAAATCGGTTATTTGCTTCAGTAAGGTAAATCAACTCATACGATAAACAACTTTTTTTAAAATTACATTTTTTAAGGACTTACAAAATAAACTTTACCTTAATTTTAGACCTGTAAAAGAGGCTAGTGGGCCTTCTTCCAGAACTACTAAACCTGATAAAACTTTAACCTAAATTTTGATCAAAAAACGTAAAAATGAAAAAAAATAAACGGAACGTTTAAACAATAGAATCCATCATCATTAAACTTTATAAAATTTATAAAAGTAAAAAAAAATATTTCGGCGCAACATCGAATTTTTCCGTTTTACGAAAAATGATGTTTTATCCATTGAAGTACATAAAAGGTGTTATGACAATTTTGGTCTAGTACTGACATTACAGCTAACAACGTGGCAATAAATAACTGCAAACTTTTTAAATTTTTTTAGACCAGACTTGTAAAAAGGCCGAGTAGGTTTGCTTTTAAATTAAGATCAAGCTTATATCGTGCAATATTAGAAATGAAAATAGACCCGCTATGTAGCATAATAGGTTAGGCCCGGCTTCTTTAATTGATCATTTATTTTATAATAAAAACTTACCCATAGCTTAAACTGTTGATCACAGAATAAAGTAGAACCAGTTTTTTAAAATTATGTTATGTTTGACTTTCTATATATTATAAAACTAAATTCAAGTAATTTAAAAAACAAATTTTTTAAATTTTGTAGTGAATAGAAACAAAAAATAAATAAAAAATTAGTTTACAGTTTGCATAGTAAAGCAACTATAAATTTTATAGGCGTAAATTTTTGTGGAGCAGCTGAGCAAACATACTATGATTTAGATTTTGTAACTTAGCTTCACACATTAGTGACCAGTATAGCAGGTGTTAAATACAAACTAACACAAAAATTTGTCAAAAGTAGGGCAGGACTTGAAGGGTAAGTCAGAGTTATGTACAGGTAGTTGGAATAGTGCAAAAGGAAGTGTAAAACAGTAGGGCAAATATGAAACGAGAGTAGAATAAGAATCAGATTAGAATAGAAAAGGGCAGGCCAAAAATGAGACAAGAGTAGGACAAAGAAATGACTAAAGCACGACTATCAAAATGCTAAGACAGGATTAAAATAAACATATGATAAACTATAATATGATGAGGGAGAGAGGTATTATGCTAGATAAGGCTAGATAAGGCTAAGATAAAGCTAAGGTAGAACTAAGGAAAAGCCAGGACTAGGTTGAGTCCAGGACAAGTCTAAACTAAGGCTAAATTAGATCAAAGTTAGAGCTATGAAGTGATTAGTGTATAACTAAGGTAAGGCTAAGGTAAATCTATGGTATGTCTAAGGTAAATTTAGGGCTAGTAAAGTGTCTAAGGTAAATTTTGGGCTACTAAGTAAAGAGTAATCTTATAGAGAAGTCGAGGAATCTTGGTGATTTAATTAAAGAAAAAGCAGTGTAAGATCAGATTCAAGACCCAGCCTAAATTTCAAAATTTAAACTTACTCATTTGACAAAACCGGAACTTTTCAAAAAACACAGGAGTTAGAGCATGAACAATATATTAAGTATACAAATCTCCAAAAACAATATTTACCGTGAGCTTCCGAGGATCATCTTGTTATTTCGTTTTTTTGTATTTTTACATCATGAAAAAAGGTCAGAAACGTCATTCCCCAAGGGCTTGGGAGCTTGAGCCGGAGCCGGAGCTAAAGCCAAACCGAGCTAAAGCCAACGCCGGAGCTAAACTTTAATAAAAGGCAAAATTTTTAAAAAAATTTAAATTTAAAAATTTGAAAACTTTGATCAGAAACTTTTTGTCTACTTGTGATTCATCTTAGGATTCACGTAAAGACAATAGAAGAAAGGTGCTACAGTTTAAAACAAAAAACAGGATTTAAAAGTGTTATTCTTTATAACCTTAGTGGCCATAGCGAAGGATTGAAGCTGTGGTTAAAAGAAGAAAGACGATCGAAAAGGGTACTGGATTGCACTTGGACAGACAAAACACCAGTGGGCAGGCCAATACAAGAATGAATAGAGGTGGATTGCTCTACCCTCAAACTAATCTGAAAAAATTTCACAAGTAAAAAACTAGAAAAATTTTTTTTGAATAATACTCTAAGCCTAAGCTAAAGCATAAACCAAATTCTCGTAAAAATAAACTTAAACCTAAAAATATTTCTATGCTTAAGCCGTAGCCCTGAAGCCTGAACCTAAGCCTAAGGTTATGCCTAAGTTTAAGGGTAATCTTACAAAGCCAAACCTTTCAAACCTAATTCTAAATCTGCTAAACCTAAGTTTACAACCAACTAATCTTATTCTTAACTAGATAATGCCACCAAATATTCCTCGGCTTTTCAAAGGAGACAAATATAGGATGAAAAAACATAAAAAGTTACCGGCAAAACTGTTTTCAAAAACTGCTAAATGAATTCGGCTAGTGAGTTACCGTACACTCAATAAGCTTGTATGTTTAAAAAGTATACCTACAAGTCCAGTCAAGCATAAACCCACAATTACAATCGTCTGAAAATACATTGCTAAAAACCCTATCAATATAAGATTGCTTAATAATATATCTATGAAAGTAGCTATTATTACTGTTATACAATAACAACATAGCCTTAGAAAAATTGTAAAAAACTGTATTACGCAACTTTTTCTTATGTAATATTGTTAACTTTTGTAATATTTGCCTCGATGTAAAACGACCCAACAAACGACTGCGAGTGCTGGGCTCTGGTTCCATATTTCTTCGAGGTACCAAGCTTCATCTGCTATATAATATCAATATTTTAACATAATTTTTCGTATTTCAATACGGGTTTGCCATAATTTCGAAGAATTGAACTTGAACGACCTCACCGATGACTTATCAGTGCCAATGATCAGTGTGCTCACTTTCCAAGGTCACGCCAATTATTAAAATTCCAGTTTCGCGATGTAAAAACGACCTACTGTCGGGCGGGGTAGATGGTTTTTGGTATTTTATACTTTTGGTCAGTCTTTGTTTTGTAAACAATGTTTTTGCATTTTTTGTTTTGGATGGGTGTTTTCTGCTATTTTGTAGTTTGGAAAGAAAGTTTTTTTCATATTTGGTATTGTAAAGAAAGTTTTTGCCAGTTTAAGCTTTGTAAAGAAAGTTCTTGCCATTTCTCGTTTTGTAAGCAAAGTTCTTATTCTTTATCAAATCTTTTATAAAAAATTGCAAAAACTTTCTTTCCAGAAAAAAATTTAACAAAACCTTTATTTCTAGACTTTCAAAGTGCAGAAACTTTCTTTACAAAACAATGGATTACGGAAATTTTTTTTCCAACTTCAATTTGCAAAAACTTTGTTTCCAACTCTTCAAATTGCAGAAACTTTGTTTCCAGTCTCTCAAGTTGCAAAAACTTTTTTTACACCTCTCCAAAACTCAATAAAATTTACATTTGAAAGTAATTTAAAGTTTGGAAAATTTTCATTTTCAGGTTATTTCGAGTAAAGCTATTATAATATAATAGTTACCGCTCTTGAAACCAGCCAGTTTTTCTCGATTTTTTGAATACGACGTAAACAAAACAACTTGAATATATTGGAGGGAAAGATATACAAGTGCTTAATTTTCACGTAAACTGTCACAAACCGCCAGTTTTACTGGTTTGATGGTTGGGTCTGGGTAATTTTAAAGTTTTTTTTCTTTGTTTGGGTACAATATTTAATTTTTATGATTTTTTAAGTTGTTAATATACGACTTATGAAGCTATGTAAAAAATTATACCTTCATTTAATTTGTGAAAAATTATTGGGATTAGAAATACACTTAGTGAATGAGTATGTACTAGAACGTACTGTGTTAAAAAGGATGGCAGAAATGCCTTACATGTTGACTTTACTGTAAGAAAATTGCAGTAGATCTTGGGCTATGTTAGTAGAGTGGAATAGTAAGTTACTGTCAATGAAGGCCAATGTAATGTAGTTCTTAGACACAAGGTATGGACTAGACTATAGATATAAAGCAAGGTATTGTAAGACTAGGGTAGGCTATATTAACAATGAAACAAGAGAAAAGCTATGGTAAGGCTAGGGTAAGACTATAGTAGAGATGAGGATGTGATAGGTTATGGATTGGGTTAGTTCAGTGTAGGGTAGGTTGAGAGTAATAGCTAAAGTAGACCTATTTTAGGAGTAAGGTAAGGCTAGAATCAGGTAATAGGGTATTATAAGATAGGGTAGGGTAGGGTAGGGTAGGGTAGGGTAGAGTAGGGTAGGGTAGGGTAGGGTAGGGTAGGGTAGGGTAGGGTAGGGTAGGGTAGGGTAGGGTAGGGTAGGGTAGGGTAGGGTAGGGTAGGGTAGGGGTAGGGTAGGGTAGGGTAGGGTAGGGTAGGGTAGGGTAGGGTAGGGTAGGGTAGGGTAGGGTAGGGTAGGGTAGGGTAGGGTAGGGTAGGGTAGGGTAAAGTAGGGTAGGGTAGGGTAGGGTAGGGTATAAGGTTAAAAAACTTATTAATATAAGCTGGCGGCTCTTCAGTTTTCAGTGCGAAACTTTACATAAATTATGCCTTATATACCTACTACAATATATTTGTTTATCACCGTTTTGGAACATCGATTTTAATTTAAAAAAAGCTTTTTAGACAATCGTTTTTTGCAATTTAAAAGGGTTTTTATTGATATAATATTGATATTCTCATAGCCTAGTCCATGCAATCCCCAGGAAGCTGTTCAACAGATTCCAGTGACTCAAACAAATCGACAGATGCTTTACAAACGAACAAGAAGTCGAATGAAAATCAAAGTTTTGAAAAAGTATTTGACGTGATAAAGCATTATGGTCGGTATCAAGTATTTACCTTTGTTTTGGTCCAATATATTATGTTAAACTCGGCTGGTAACTACTTGTTTATATCTTTTGCCACGTTGAAGCCAGAGTGCGAGATCGAAGAGGTTAATGTGAGTTTTTTCACTTATTATTCTTATTATTGGTTTCTTGACATTATATGTTTTTTGGCAACTTTTTCTTTATTTTAAAAAACTTTTTTAAAATTTTTTATAATTTTTAATTTTACAATTAAATTTTTTTTGGTCGAAATGCTTTTAAAATAACGTAAGACAGCATGGTAAATCAAAAACAAGCCAAAATTAATTTGAAAAAGTGCATAAATACCTAAAAATAGCTCAAAAACAATGTTTTTCTTTGTTCTTCAATTGCAAACTCATTTGGACTTCTTTCTCAAGATTTTACCAGACGTGTCGGTGTAGTCGAATAGGGAGCGCGCCGGCTTTCAAAGCGGAAGGCCAGAAGTTCGGGTCTTCAAGCTCTTTTTGCCTTTTTTCTATTTTTTCAAAATAGAGAATTGGTTTTTTAATATCTTAACATAATAACCATTGTTTTTAAGAGTTTTTAAATTTATTTTTACTGTTTTTAAAAAACATTTATAAAAAACGCCATATTTTTGTTTAAAAAAGGCAAAAAATGAAATCTTTCTTCTTTTTTTGGCAAAAAAATATGGTTTTGGCATTTTTATAACACTTTTATTAATATAAAGTGTTATTATTCACTTTTCATTATGTTTTCTGGTAATATTATAATTATATTTAATTATTTCAAGGCCTCTATATTGACAAAAAGCTCTATTCTAGTCGTTTTTTCAAAGAAAATGTCAGTTATACCTACATTTTTGGGACAAAAAACTTACTTTTACTTAGCCTTGCTTTACGTTTTGTAAGCTTTATCTTTCTATAATATACTTTAGCTTTAAGCTCTACCTTACCTTAATATACTCCACCGTATAGCATCTTTAAATTGGTTTAATATATACATTATTTAGCAAATTCCCGACGTCTGTGCAAAGATATCACTATGTCCGTTGAATCGCACCAGAAGTCCCTTCTACTCGTTATACCAAGATGACAGTTTTGTTTGTCCAAACAGTTATCTACCGAATAACATGCAAACTCTGCAAGCAATTGGCAGTGGTGTTGGGGCTTTACTCGGAGGACATTTGGCTGATGGGGTTGGGCGGTGGGTTTGAAATTTTGATTTTTGAAGTTTTTTTAAAAATTTTTTAAGATTAAAAAATTTTTTTTGATATTTTGGTTTTTTCAATTTTTCTTAAAATCAAATTTATTTTTATATATTTTTGAATCTTTAATTTCAGAAAATGGGTAACGAACTCAGGAGCCTTTCTAATGACATTGTTCGGATTTGTTGCTGGATTCGCTCCGAATGCCACTTGGTTGTGCGTTACCATGTTCGGAATGGGTTTGGCCTACGGTATTTTAATAGACGCTTTGATGACATTGACAACGGAACAAGTTGGGCCGAAATACAGGATTATTCAGACGCTGGCTTTTCAATGGACTATTTCTATGCAGGTGGGATTGATTTTATTAAATTTTAAAAAGGGTTTAAATTTTTAATTTTTTTTAATTTTTAGAGCAAATTTTATCTTTAAAACTTTTTATTTTATGTTTACACAGCGCTTTTTCCTTGTGAATGTATTTGGGGCTTTTTCCAACACTTTTGCCAAACTGTCCTTGTAGTCGAATCGGTTGCGCGCCGGCCTTTAAGAAATGGGCGCTCAGGTTCGAAACCGGCTGCCGTTTTTGTTGTTTTTTAATGTTTATACTATTTGAAAATACTTTTTTGAGGTGAAAATAGTAGTAGTAGAAGTTTTAAATTTTTTTTGTAATTTAAAACAAATTTTTGTTGAAAAAAAGGTATCAAAACACAAAAAAAACAACGTTATTTTTCAAAAAATAGCCAGTTTTTGAGTGTAAATCTAATGGTTTTATATTTAAAGTACGTTTTGTTAATCTGTTTGTGATATAAAGGGTTTACAAACTCTAAACATCAACTTTTTAGGGTTTTTTTGTTTAAAATTTTAATTTTTGAAAAATTCTCCAATTTTTTCAGCTAGCAGCCTGCATTGCATGGTTAGTTCGAGACTGGCGCAAGTATTTACTGGTGATAAACGGAGTTTGTTCTCCAGTTTTGTTAATAATGTACTTTTTCTGGGTGGAATCTCCACGATGGTTGATTCAGAAGCGGAGGTACGATGAAGCGGCGAAGGCGTTGAATCGAATTGGTTGGTGGAATGGTAGTAAAGAAATTTTTGACCAACAAAAACTGGTTGACATGAAAATCAAGGCTGAGAAAAGGTAAGAAATGTCATTCTTAGCCTTGCCGACCTGGTTTTAGCCCTACGCTACCTATAGCTCTAGTTCTAGACCGGCACTTAGGCCTACAACTTATACTTAGCCATAAACATGACGATAGCCATAGCCATAATCTTAGCTTTAGTTTTACTCTTAGCCTCAGCCTTGGATTTAGCCTTAACTCTAGTTATAACTATGTCCCGCGTCATATTCTTAACCATAGACTTGTTAATTTAACATTACTACCTTAAAACTTTTTTCAGAGAGCAAATATACTCATTTACGGACTTGTTCACCCATAAAAAGTTGTGTTCCTATTCGATTGTTATGATATTCTCTGCGTTAACAGTTGAACTTTGTGGTGGAGTCATCATCTTTGACATACAGGTAAGTTAGACTTATTAAAAACTAGCCCACCTTTCACATAATTAAAAAAACCAGCACTTAAAAAGATGGTTTACTAGTATAAGATAATAAAAATTTTTAGATTTTGGCCGGAGATCCGTTTTTGAACATAGTACTATACGGAGTATTAAGGTTATGGACACCGTTTTTCGTGGTTTTTATTGAAACACATTCGAACAGTGTCGGCAGGAGAAGTTTGTTTTTGTATTCCCAAGGTAAGTACTGTAACTTTAGCCCAGAGCCCTAGCCCAGAGCCCTGGCCCAGAGTCCTAGCCGAGAGCCCTAGCCCAGATCCCTAGCCCAGAGCCCTAGCCCAGAGCTTTAGCTCAGAGCCCTAGCCCAGAGCTCTCGCCCAGAGCCCTAGCTTAGAGCCTTAGCTAAGAGCCCTAGCCCAGAGCCCTAGCTTAGAGCCCTAGCACAGAGCCCTGGCCCAGAGTCCCAGACTTACCCTAGGCTTGGATTTAGACTTAGTTTTAGCTTTAGCTCTAGTCTTAGATCTAGATTTAGTTCTAATCTTAGCGCTAGCCCTTGTCCCGTCCTAGCTCTGGCTTTGGCCCTAGGTCTAACATTTAGTCTTAGCTGGCCATAGCTTTAGCTGTCCCTGTCCCTCGCTTTAGCTTACCTTCTGGTCTAGTATATACAGTAGTTTGCTTTAGTTCTACTCTAGCCTTCTTTCAAACTCTGCCATGTCCTGTTACATCCTATTATAATACACCTTATAGCCTCTTTAAACTCCATTACTATTTCCAATTTTCAGCCTTTAGTATCACCTGTTATGCCCTAGTAATAGTACTAGGTTTATTCCCAGCCCTATATTTCTCCAAGATCCTACGTACAGTACTAGCTATGGGTGGTGCTATGGTGAACTCATCAATTTTCTTCACCGCCTACAAACAATACAGTATGGAACTCTACCCCACTCTAATGAGAGCCATAGCCGTTGGTACGTTCGGCGTGGTAGAGAGGATTGGGGGTGGATTGGCGCCACAATTAGTCAGTCTAAACTCATTTGTTTGGACTGATGCTGCTTTGGTCGTGGCTACGGTAATCATGGCCTGTTCTTGGTTAGCTGGACTGGCTATTTTGCCTGAGACTAAGAATATCGACATACCTGATGTGGTGGAAGAGGAGAAGAAGATTGATGCTTAATAATGATAATTTTATGGTTTTACTACAGTAATTCTGGAAATTTAATATAAGGAAAAAGATCTCGGTGAATAAAGTTTGAGTTTTAATGGTACGGTGGATCTACTGTATAACGAAAGACTTTATCCTTAACGAAAATCGTATATCTACTTACTAATGTAGTGAAAGTCTTTGGGCTTAACAAAGAACGTTTAGGCTAAAACGAAAATTCTTAAGCTACAAAGCAGGGCTCTGGGCTAGGGCTCGGCTATAGCTCTGGACTAGGGCTCTGGGCTAGGGCTCTAGGCTATAGCTCTGGACTACGGCTCTGGGCTAGGGCTCTGGGCTAGGGCTCTGGGCTAGGGCTCTGGGCTAGGGCTAGCGCTAGGAAAAAGATAAGAACTGGCATATTTTAGGCTCAAGAACTCTAGCTTTACCAGCTCTTGCTATTGCTCTAGATCCAGCTCCTGCTCTAGCTCTAACTCTAGCTTTGACTCTAGCTTTAGCCTAGCATAAAGGTTAGAGTTCACAGTGCTAGCAACAGTTCTAGCCCTATTCCTAGATCTATTTCTTGAGATTTAGAATTAGAAATAGCTGTGGTTGGACTAGGGCTGGGTAAAAAATCTTTTTTAAAAAGCGTTTAAAAAGAGAAGAGAGTTCACAGAGGTCAGAGTGCAACATAATTCAGCTTATGTATAAAAAATAGCGTTTGAAGTGGAGAGGTTGGCACGGGGGTGACGGCTGGTGTCGGGCGGTGTCCGCGCGAAATGTTATGGAGAATAAGGAAAGGGAAATAGTTTTTGGAGGTATTGCAGGGCTTTTTGAGGGGTTATAATGGGTGTATTAGGGAGAAATAGGGGGTAATAACCAATAGACGGACAAAAAGTTTTAAAAATTTTAAAAATTTCAAAATTTAAAATAAAATTCTAAAAATGTTGCTCCAGAAGCTTGGTTTAGTTTGTTAACAAAAGAGAGAGATAGAGAAAAGTAGAGCAGGCAGAGAAAAAACCAAATAAAGGCGAGAGGAATAAAGCGCGCACAACAAGTATAATATTCTTTTATAGATTTTACTAAAATACGATCGTTTCTGACTCATTTCGCCTCGTTTTTTTCGCTTTTTTTTTGGGCTGAAGTGACTTTTAGTACAAAATTTTGATAGATTTCTTTTAAAAATTGAGTTTTTATTTTACGTTACCTTAGGTTTAGCTTAAGCCATAGCTCTTGTTTTAGCTTTAGGGCTAGCTTTTGCTCTAACTCTGGTTTTAGTTATAGCTCTAGCACTAGTTCTTGCTTTAGCTCTAGCTCTAGCTCTAGCTGTGGCTCTCGCTCTAGCTCTAGCTCTTGCTCTTGCTCTAGCTCTAGCTCTTGTTCTAGCTCTAGATATAGCTCTAGATCTACTTCTAGCTTCAGCATTTAGGTAGTGGTAGGGAAGGAAAGGATAGGATAAAGTAAAAAAAGTCTAAAAAGGTAAAAACTTTTTTTTGAATTGGGGGGGGGGAGATTTTATCTATTTTGGCCCTATTTTGACTTGTTAATCCCTCCTTAGTCCAGGTTAGGCCTAGTAGGCCCTCTTTCAGGTCTAGTCACAATAATTTTCAGGTTTAGCTCTACTGACTAGAAATTATGCGTCTGACGGATTTACCCGTATTTTACCAAAATTTCAAAACTTTTTATCTTTTAGTGTAATTTCTAGATCTTAATGTTCATTTTTGATATTTAGTCATCATAATAATTTCAAATAAATTTTATTTTTGTAGCCACGTCACTTCGAAGAGAGAGTTTAGCACTTTTTTGTTTGAAAACCGATTATTCCGAGGGATTTTTGCATTGAAATTAGGTTTGTGACACACTCTTTTAGACTCTTTTATTTGCTGTGCGTACAAACAGGCATGTCTCTCTTGGTTATACACTGTATTTCGTTTTTCTTTGTCTGAACCATTATTTTACATTGTATTTCTCTTTCTTTTCACTGTTTCTCACTGATTTAGCTCTGTATCTTTCTTTTCTTTGCCTGTCTCTTCATTTTACACTGTATTTTTTCATTTCTCTGACTGTTTCTTCACTTTACACTATATTTTTTCAATTCTCTGACTGTATCTTTATTTTGCACTGTATTTCGCTTTTGTCTAACTATCTCTCTATTTTATACTCTATTTCTCATTTCTCTGACCACTTCTTCATTCTAAACAGTATTTTGTACTTTCCAAGCCGTGCTTTGATCATAGATAATATAAATTTGAAAGAGAGTCTTGAGCATGTTATAGGCAATGTAAAATGAAGAGAATGTTATGGATGATGCAAAATGAAGAAAATGTTATAGACAATATAAAATGAAGAGAGTTTTCTCTTTTTTCTAACAAGTTGAACACAACTTTTAGCCTCTTCATTTTGTGTTGTCTATGAGCCCTAAGAATGACATACCTCGCTCGACAAAAAGACGACACGGCTTCTGTTTTTTTTTTTCAAATTGTTGTAGCCTCTGTTCTTCTCTTATCTCTTAGCCGAACCCTATACCTATAGCCCCTGTCTTTTTACTGTCTGTGTGCCCTTGCCGTAGCCTTAGTTTTCTTTGGTTTCAACCCTAACTTTGTCATCTCTTATCTCACCCTCTCCATCTCTCAACCCACATCCTCCAGCTTCCCCCTCTCTCATCCCCACACCCCAACACAACCCCAGCCCTTCGCACGAAAAGACACGAGCCTAGTATGACGCTCACACCAAAGAGACGAACATTCCCAGGTATAGACGGCGAAAAGAAGCCAGAGAAGCAGACGCCTTTCTTTCCCCTTCACCCCCCCCGTCTGCCAATCTTTTGTGTGCTTCTCCCCAGAATTCTTCTCTTAAAACACTGCAAATCCGCGTTGAAACGCCCAAATCCGCACCCTCCCCCCATTGAATGTCAGCAGGGTTCGGAAAATTTTGCAAAGCTGTTTTTTCAAACTCATCAATGGGTTTAGCAACTTAGTTTTGGGAGATAATGGAGATTATGGGCTTGGAATGAGGGGGAGAGGTTGGGAATGAGGAGTGGAAGGTGGAGAAGAGAAGGGAAGCACCAATATTAGGAGTTAGGGGTGAAAGGTGGGGAATGATACAGGAAGATGAGGAATAAAGAGTGGAAGCATTAATATAAAGAGTAAAAGATAGGTTTTCTATAGGCTTAGAGGTAGAGAAGGAAGTCTATAGTAAGGGGAGTTAAACTTATGTTTTTTATCTTTAGTTACTTTTGAACCTAATAAAAATTTTTTCAGATTTTTTGAAAAAAATCCACAGGGGGACCAAGTTCTCGTTTTCGAAAAAAACTTTTTTTGATAGATGACAATCTCAATATTACTTGTGTTTCATATATATCAGAACTACATTTTTTATATTTCTTTGATAAAGCGTTATAGATTTATACATGTTTCCAATATAATTTTACGAAAGCGAGATTTTTTATTCTTCGTTGAAGCTATAAGTATAGCTTGGCGTTTGTTTGAATATTTGACGCGGTTTTCGAACGAATCCAAACTCTTTGTTACATAGTAATGATAGAGGAGATCCCAACCTTTATTTTGATATATACCTCACTTCAAAAATCTGTGTTTTTCTTTGAAAATTTTAGGTTTTAACTTTTAATTATTTTTGAAAAAGCAAATTTCTCAAATTCCAGGTATACAAAAACCTTAATTACGAAAAAAAGTTATTATTGTTTATGCTGAATATGAAAATTTTGTTTACGTTCATTTTACAGTTGTTTTTCACATCGAATTTGTTTATTGTGGCACCGGAGACGACAATTCTCCAAGTGGAAGATTGTCGTTAGAATTTCGAATTTTTTGATTATTGCTTTCGAAGTTTTGGGGTGGCTTTAATGAAGCAGGGTCTACTAATACCATTTCTAATGTAAAAAAGGGTAAAAAATTTAAAATTAGGTGCTAAATTTGAGATTACTCTTGTTATAACTGATTGGTGGTATAGTAGACAAAATTTAAACGCTCATATCTCAAAAGTTTCGAAAGCTCAAGAATGAGACATAGCCGGTTTGAAAGAGCATAAAAAGCTGTAATAGAAAAGAATTTTAGAAAAAATTTGTAATACAATGGACTAGAGAAATATTGCTTTGAATAGTAAAAGTCTTATATTTTTATTATTTTTATTTCCTTTTTTCGTTTGTACAAATTGAACGGGTTTAAACTCCGTGCATGCGTAGCCGAGAGGTGTGCGCGTTTGGCTTCGACTCGTAGGCATGTTGGTTCGAGCCTCGGCCGTTTTATAAGCTTTTTTATCGTCTATAACGTCGTTTTTGACACCAAAAGTAACAAATTATAGGTATAGCTTGGCTATGACACTCCGATAAAACACTCATTTGCACATTTTTTGTAACTCAGCTACAAATATTTAGTGTAAAACAGTTAATTTTTCTAGTATTTCGTAAGAATTATGCCAAAAATGAAGGTAAACTATAAATATTCAATTACAGTCACATGATACTTAGTTTTCCGTTAAGCTATAGTATTTACAGCTTTTCGGGAGTAATATGTACAATTTTGGTATTTACAACTTTTTTGTAGTCTAAGCATGCGTTAGTTTTGTTGTAAGTGGTAATTATGGCTGTAAAATGAACTTTTGTGTAATTAGTTACAGTAAGGTAATGACTACAGCTTGAAAGGAATAAGGTTGGGTATTGTATTTTTAGTTTATTGTGGTATGATTAAGATGCAAATTTACATTTAAATTTGTTATTTTCAACCAGAATATAGAAGATGCTATTCTTTTTAATTTTTCTATAAATGTATCTCACAGTTTTGCCAAGTGTTATACACCAGAATGTTCCGAAGATCCTGGGCTTTAAATTGAGTATAAACTTGATTGTAAAATCTTTGACGTAAAAAGCGATAAAGAAGCAAAGAGTAAGAGAAATGTAAATCTAATCCGATTCTCCTATTTTAATGCTCTCTGGCTGCTATTTCAAGTAATTTTTCAATGAGCTTTGGTCTTTTCATACCAAATATGTTGTCATAGACGTTTGTCATAAGGTTTTTCTTTTTTGTCTAAACAGTTATGGCAGAGGGGGAAGGGGGGGGGGCAGTCTCACATTTTTTTGGGAATTTAAAAGCGTTGGGAAGAAAATTCTCGCTTATATCTAAAAGATCTGTTTAGATATACATAGTGTAATAATAAATAGTCTGAGCTATATTACACCAAATTTCACTAATGAACATTGTAGTACATTGGCAAAACTTCCGTCCCAAAAAATAATACGATTTCCGGTTGGATTATTGGGCTAGAGGGCGTTTTCTTCATTAATTAGAGAGTCGTCTTGGATTTACGAACTTATTAACCATATATAATGCTATTGTTCCAAACGTTTAGTTTGGTGCAGTTTTTGGGCTTTTGGTACAATTTTGGGCTTTTGGTGCAGTTTTGGGCTCTTGGTTTACCGTTTTGAAGTTTTTGGTCGGTTTAGAAGATGGTTTAGAATTTATGCAAATTTAGGGCTGAAAGTTGAAGGCTTCACAATATTTTTGTTTGGTACTACTACAGTGGTACTGGTGCACATGTATTATGATTTTAGAAAAATTTTAGACATTTTTAAATTTTTAAAACTTATGCAAATTTCGACTCAACAAGCACTATATTAGCCATATTTTGCTACTGGTCTCATTTTTAGTCCTTTTAGTACTATTTTAACATATTTTTTAAAACTTTTAATTTTCTCGATTTTTAATCCGCGAATGTCATATTATCTAAAAATATCGTCATACTGATTTTAAAATAAATTTTTTTATTGCTTCAGTTCACCATTGAGCCGTCACACAACCCGAACGGCGGCGGTGCCGCGCCTTCCGGCGCTCACCAACCCTCCAACCAACAACGAGGCCAAGGTGACGTCGAACAGCCGATGCTCGACCAACAGACCATGATGATGCTGGGTGAGATTTGGTTTTTATTCGAATTTGAATCAGAATTCGAATTTAAAAATTTATTTGACGTGTGATAGGCACAAATGGCGTATTTCACAATTTTTTTGTATATAAGAAGACTATCATAGTTAAAAGAACAAAAAATCATAGTATACCGCAAACTTTTAAGCGGTAGATGACTTTGTGCAGTAAAATACAAAAATTTGTAGTTATTAGGCTCACAAGATACTCGACTTTCACTTAAGCATAAAGTTTAAAATTTTGAATAACTATTACGGTTACTGTATCAAATGTTCCAAGAACATGCTTAATTATTGGAACAATTGACTATGCCTGCAACTTTTGACCAAACTGACACTTTCCGATACAACAAAAAGTTTAGGTTTGTCATATTAACAATTAAGGGACTTCAGGCTTTCGTTTAAGCCTGATAATTAAAATCATGGTCTACTTTTGACGTCTTTTCCCAGAACAACACCAGTTTCTTAAAAAAGCTAGCTATACCTACAAGTTTTGATCGAAGTAAAACTTTTTGGAGTAGTTAAAAACACATTTTCGTAAATTTTTAAGTCAGCAGATTTTAGGCTTTCATTTAAGCCTAATATTTCAAATTTCTCGCTATTCTTACGCCGACAGCACTTAATTTTCTATACCTTATTCAGCTCTAGTATAATATACTATTTATAAGGCTTCTCGTGCATTTTTGACGTAAAACAATTAAAATTGAAAAAAAAATTGAAAAAGAAATTTTGCATTAGTTTAAATTTGTGCTATACTCCTCAGAAAAAAACAATGTGTAATCCGATTTTCGACGTAGTGTAATATAATCCCAAAATTTGGGGAAATTAGGGTATTTATGGCAGGATAAACTGTTTTTTAAACTTTTTGATTATTTTTTTGAAAAATTTTGGATCTTGAAAAGTTTCGGCAGTAAAAACTATAAAAACAATAAGTTTGACGTTAAAAACATTAACAAGCATAAGTCTAATAGCGATACCTACAAGAACATAATGAATCCCTCAATTTCAGAAGCATTAACCGTCGGCGGCGACAGCAACAACCCCATGTTCATGGGCGGGATGATGGGCGGCCCACCGATGGGGCCGGGCGGCCAATACACCCTGGCTCCGGGCCCACCACCACAAATGGGCTACCAACCTCAGATGCCCTTCTCCGACGTCTACGTGAACCAGATGCTGGGCACCCAGTCGCAATACGGGCAGGGCGGCTTCGATGTGGGCTCGGGCACACAACAGCCACGACCGATCGGCAGTCTCGCGCCCGGCGCGCCAATCGGCTCCTCACAAACATCTCAAGAGATCTCCAGGCAAGTTTTTCGGTGTTATTGTTGTGGTTTAGGTAGAAGGTGTAGTTGAGATTGGTCTTAAAAGATGCAGCAGGGTCTGAAGAACAAGTAGATATCAAATTGATACTGTTTGGCAGAAGAATTTCATAGTTGGCCAAAGCTATTTTGGCGACAACCTAAAATATTTAAAAAATCTTAAGGAAGGCTTGCGTTTTCAATGTTATTGTAGCAAAATAAGGTCGAATACAGGTCCAAACGGTTAATATAACAATGAAAAAAACTATAAACTACAAATAGATACTAAAATTGACTAGTTTTGAAACGGAATTTGATGTTTTTTCAAAACCGACAAAGCTTGTTTTTTGTGAAATCGGATTTTTTGGCGTGACGAAATGTCAAAAAAAATATTTTCCCAAACTTTTTCAAGTCTTTCATGGCCAGAACAATCTTTATTAGCTAATGAACGATGTTGTCTGCGCCAGCACGGTAAGAAAAATTGTTTATAGAGCTATTTACTTTGGTTTAGGCTTTAAATTTGCTGTATTTTGAAGGATTTTTATGAATTTTTGAGTGTTTGATAAAATAATGGATATTACCTTAGTTTTTTGAAGGTTTGTAGAGTTTAAAATGAAGCTATGGCTTTATAAGAGGTTAGTTAAAGGACTAATATTTATGTTCAAGTGGTTTAGCTTTTTTTTGAAGATCAAAGACGCTGCGAGAGTCATGGGTAATATCGGCTGATAAAGTTTTTTAAAAAGTTGTTTTTAAAATGGTGTTAAATAAAACTTGTTGTCCATAACATTTTTTTATAATCTGAAAGTTTGGTCAAACTACGTTAAAAATGGGCCGAGTTATATTAACTTCAACAAATTGATACCTAAAACTTTCGAATTCAATAAAGTATTTTCTAAAACAACAAAAACTGAAGTTCTTTACCAAAAAATCTTCAGAATATCAAATTTAATTTGTTTCTTTTCAGTTCTTTCAGCGGCCAAAGCTTGGGTGCGCCAGGCCAGCCAATTATGGGTACCTCGTCCTCGTTCATGGCTCCGCGCCGGCCCGGCCCCGGAGTCGAGGGGAAACAAATCTCGTTACGCGCAAATCACTTTCAAGTCCAAATTGCTGCTCATGAAGTTCAATTCTATCAGATCGAAATTCAGCCAGACAAGTGTCCACGAAAAGTCAACCGGTAAGAAATTTTGTTGGTTTTTTGAGGTTTAGATGGTGAATATCTTGATTCTTGATGGATATTGATAGGAATTGATTTTAAATCAAAGCTTGATATCTTGTCTAAGATTTTAAAGGGTTTAATATAGGTTTAATAAGATGATTTGATGAGAATTAACGCCAATTATTGGGATAGGTATCAAGAATTGGTGACGTTCTTTTTGTTTTTTTGCTCATATCTTTTTCAATTTGTTTGAAATTTTAACAAAATGTATAAAATAGATTGAAAACGTCACAAAGAGCAAAATGAGGCTTTTTCTGCTCCAGAACTACCTAAACTTATAAAATAAAACAAAAAAACCGCTTTATTGAGAAGAATCAATTGTAAATCAAATTTTTTAAATTTCAGTGAAATTATCAACAAGATGATTGAATCCTACAAAGAATTCTTGAATATCAAGCCAGTGTACGATGGTAAAAAGTCCTTCTACACCCGTCAGCTGATCCCGCTTCTTGGCAACGAACGCAAGGAGTTTGAAGTCACGATGCCAGGCGATTCGCCAGTAGATCGTCGCTTCATGGTCTACATTCAATGGAAAGAGTCCGTCAGTCTGAAGCTATTGGACGATGCCTTACGTGGATTCCGTCGTGATGTGCCGTTGAACTCGGTACAGGCAATGGACGTGATCTTAAGACATTTACCTTCAACAAAATACACTCCAGTCGGACGATCCTTCTTTTCGCCTCCAGCCGGCCAACTTGTTCATCATGGTGGCCCAGGTGGACCGTCGTACCACTCGGGAGATTCCAAGCTTGGTGGTGGTAGAGAAGTGTGGTTCGGATTCCATCAGAGCGTGCGACCCAGTCAATCCAAAATGATGCTCAATATTGATGGTAAGTTATTGTTTTGTTTGAGTTTTTGTGTTTAGACGGGTGAAATATGAAGATGTATGATTGTAAAAAGCTGGAGTGGCGTTGTTTGCATTTAAAATCATTTACATGATATCAAAAAGATTGTTTTAGACACAAGAAAAATTAAAAATAGGTCAAAGTCTAGTGTAATATAAAAAAATATTGCTTGGATTTTAGGGACATAATATATTTTTAACTTTATATTGTAATTGTAAAAGTTATTTAATATAGGGTTTTAAAATGAATCTAACTTTAAAATGATTTCAGTATCCGCCACCGCCTTCTACCGCAAAATGCCAGTGATCGAGTTCATCGCGGAGGTGTTGGAACTGCCAGTTCAAGCCCTCTCCGACCGTCGCACCCTCAGCGACGCTCAACGAGTCAAGTTCACGAAGGAAATCCGCGGCCTTAAAATCGAAATCAACCATTGTGGCCAGATGCGCCGAAAGTACCGTGTCTGCAACGTGACCCGCCGTCCCGCCCAAACCCAAACGTTCCCACTGCTTTTGGAGTCGGGCCAGACCGTGGAGTGCACCGTGGCCAAGTACTTCTTGGACAAGTACCATCTTCAACTGAAATACCCTCATCTGCCGTGCCTACAGGTGGGCCAGGAACAGAAGCACACCTTCTTGCCTCCGGAAGTCTGTGAGATCGTGAGCGGCCAGAGATGCATCAAGAAGCTGACCGATATCCAGACCAGTACGATGATCAAAGCCACGGCACGTTCGGCGCCAGAACGTGAACGCGAGATCGCATCTCTGGTCAAACGTGCCGAGTTCACGAACGACCCATACGCTCAAGAGTTTGGCATCAGCATCAACTCCAACATGACCGAGGTCAAGGGCCGCATCCTGAGTGCACCAAAGCTTCTGTACGGTGGTCGAAACAAGATGACAGCCCTGCCAAACCAAGGCGTGTGGGATATGCGTGGGAAGCAGTTCCACACCGGAATCGAGGTGAAGATCTGGGCCATCGCCTGCTTCGCCCAACAACAGCACGTCAAGGAGAACGATCTGCGCAACTTTACCTCACAACTCCAACGAATTTCCTCCGACGCCGGCATGCCCATCCTCGGCCAACCCTGCTTCTGCAAGTACGCCGTGGGTGTGGACCAAGTCGAGCCAATGTTCAAATACCTCAAACAAAACTTTCAAGGTAGGCATGGGTAATTCAAACTAAAGTTTCAAGTTAGGGATGGGTAATGTGGTCCAAAAGTAATGGCGTACTGTGATTTTATATGGGTGTTCAAATAATTTTGAGCCCCCGAATAAAAACTTGATTTTGAGAGCGGGCGCAGAATTTATTGAACAACCAAATAAAAACTTTTAAAGCCCTACAATAGCCGTTTCTGTACTAACGACACCACCCTTTCAGGTCTCCAATTAGTATGTGTGGTACTGCCTGGCAAAACGCCGGTGTACGCGGAAGTGAAGCGTGTCGGTGACACCGTGTTGGGTATCGCCACCCAATGTGTTCAAGCCAAGAACGTCATCAAAACGACGCCACAAACCCTCTCCAACCTGTGTTTGAAGATGAACGTCAAGTTGGGCGGTGTGAACTCGATCCTCTTGCCAAACGTTCGGCCGCGCATCTTCAACGAACCGGTCATTTTCCTCGGAGCGGATATCACCCATCCTCCGGCTGGTAAGGGTTTTTGATTTTTTATGGTGTGGGGGTGGTAAATGGGGATTTTTCGGTCTTTGGGGGGCGGTGAAGAGTGATTTTTTGTTTTTGGGGTTGGTAAATGGAAATTTTGGGGGGGGGGTGGTAAAGGTGTTTTTTGGTCCTTGGCGGTGATAAAGACGGTTTTTATTCTTTGGAGTGGTAAATGGTGATTTTTGGGCGGTGGGGGGGGGGAGAGAAAACAAGGAAGACTGTGTAATTGAAAATTTTATGGTTTGAAGCGTCGTACTTTAAAATTTTTTAAATTTAAAAAAATTTAAAAAATTTTTTGAAAAATTGACGGGAATGACCCTGTTGACAAGAAACTAAAATTTTAATTTTAAAAAAAATTGAAAAATCAACTAAAACAATATATTGTTGCAGGCGACTCAAGGAAGCCCTCAATCGCCGCGGTCGTGGGCTCCATGGACGCCCATCCATCCCGCTACGCCGCCACCGTCCGCGTCCAACAACACCGCAACGAAACCATCACCGATCTCACCTGGATGGTCCGAGAACTTTTGGTCCAGTTCTACCGCAACACCCGCTTCAAGCCCACTCGCATCGTCATGTACCGTGACGGTGTGTCCGAAGGCCAGTTCTTCAACGTCCTCCAACAAGAGCTGCGGGCGATGCGCGAAGCGTGCATGATGCTGGAACGAGGCTACCAGCCCGGAATCACGTTCATCGCCGTCCAGAAGCGCCATCACACTCGACTGTTTGCGGTGGAGAAGCGTGATCAAGTGGGCAAGGCCTTCAACATCCCCCCAGGCACAACCGTCGACGTGGGCATCACCCACCCCACCGAGTTCGACTTCTACCTCTGCTCCCACGCCGGTATCCAAGGCACCTCAAGACCAAGCCATTACCACGTCTTATGGGACGACAATGGCCTCTCGGCAGACGAACTTCAACAATTGACATACCAAATGTGCCACACTTATGTCAGATGCACACGATCCGTATCGATCCCGGCACCAGCGTACTACGCTCATTTGGTTGCCTTCAGAGCTAGATATCATCTGGTTGATAGGGATCATGACAGGTGGGTTTTGGCGGATATTGCAGTAGACTTGCAAAGTTTTGGTATTCTAGTAGGCTTGGGATGCTTTTAAGGATATTGTAGTAGGTATAAGATAGAAATTGTCTTTTAGAAGATGTTGTAGTAGATTTGCAATGTTTTAGGGGTGTTTTAGTGAGCTTGAGAGGCTTTTAAGGATATTGTAGTAGATAGAAAAGGCCTTTTTTAGGCTTTATTGTAGTAGATATGGAAGATTTTTAAAGGATATTGTAGTAGATATAAGCTTTTTCATTATTTTACTATAATATACACAAGAAACATAGAATCTTAGGTTATTATAGTAGGTAAAGTTTTTAAATTTTTTTTTGAAATTTTTAAATTTCAGTGGAGAAGGCAGTCAGCCCTCAGGCACCAGCGAAGACACAACGCTCTCGAACATGGCCCGTGCCGTCCAAGTCCACCCCGACGCGAATTCCGTCATGTACTTTGCCTAAGGCAACGAATATTCCCATTTTTTCGAATTTTTTTTTCATTTTTATCTTATCTTTTTCTACTTTTTTTATCTTTTTTCAATTTTTTATCTTCCATTTTCGTATCTACCCCCAATTTTTACTAGCCCCACACACAGTGTCGAGTATGCCTTACCGTATTTGCAGTAACGTAGTCGATTTCACTATACAGTTTTGGTCGTAATTTAATATTCATAGCATTCGTTTCCTTTTCATAGCCTTTGTTGTTATACTATACATATTCGGAATGGTCGTGATTGTAATTGTTTTTATAATTTGATAAAGTCTACTTTAATAATTGTGGTCTTTGTGTGTCGTCAGAAGGTCTTGCGCCTCGTTATTTGCTGGCTTCGGCCGTTTTTTGGCTTTTATTTGATGTTTTCTGGCCATTTTTTAAAACTTTTCTACCCACTTTAGCAAACAAATCACTCCCAAAGACCCTACAATACTATTACACAATAATCTTTGCATCCATAACTAATCCTTGCCTTTATATTTCCAAACCTTTTATGGGGGGTCAACATCTCCCGTCTACAATCTGAACAGTCTGTGGTACCAGGAAGGCACTGTGATATTATTATGTTGTATAAAAAGTAATGAGCTATTTCTCATGGCTGATATGGAGTTTAATAACTCATTATTTTTTGTACAATGTAATACATGATTGTTTACTGTACTTTTTGGAGTTTAAAGATTTTTCGACCGCGAGTTACAGTAACCCATCAAAAAGTAAACCACTCTTCCTGCCCCGTTCAGAATGCCTCAGTCGAAATCCCGAGTACTTTCGTACCCAAAAAAAAAGAAGAATAATTCAGTCTCAGAAACCCTTTATATTGGCACTCGAACATCTCTATCTTAACCAGCGTTTCCCCTCAGTCTCATTTTGCTATTTGGATATCGTTAACAACAACCGGACTCAGGTCATTACGAAACTTACTCATCCCTATTCTGGACACTTTTGGCGGGCCTTTCTCATGTGAGGTTTTTGGTGGCAAATCGATGAGTTTAGGCTTGGAACTTGGGTTTTTGGCAAAGATTGGTAAGGCTTGGTTTGAAAATAATTTTTTGGATAAAAAATGGTCGGTTTGGGTTTAAAAATTGATTTTTTGTACTAAAAAGTCAATGAGTGTAGGCTCAAAAATCGATTTTTAAGCAAGAAAACCTCAATATCAATAGTATCCTAGGCTCAGACATATTGATTTATCGCTGAAAATCTAATATTTTTGGTTAAAAGTTATTGATATAGGCTAAAGATCTTGGTTTCAAGCAAATTTCCGCAATATTTTCAAGCATGTTGTACTTGTGACTTTAAGGTTGGCATCTTACGTTGCAAAAAGATCTTATCTCAATGTTTTACAGCGCTTTTTGTATTTGAAACAGATTTTTATTTTTTTTATCTTTGAGTATATTTTGGCCTTAAAATGATGTCTTATGGTATTAATCAGCATCAAGGTTAAGTGACATAGGCTTAAATGATGTCTTACAATATTAAGCAGCATCATATGTAGTTATTGCCACCCGAAACTGATGTCTTACAATACTTTTCTGAAACAAACTAAAGTAATAAGTTTAGTAGAACATGGACACTCCACGTGTATGTTAAGTTACTATTCACTACTGTTTAGTATCTTAAAACCTCTATTTTGCCCTTAAGGCATTCATACTATACCCTCTTACCATTATTATAACATATAACTTCTCTTTTAAATTGATTTACCTTCTCCTTACCCTAAATTACTGTATTTTACAATACCCTACGATATTGCACTAGATATCCACCCCAATTGCCCTTTTTCTACTTCTTTGTCCTTACTTTATATTATAGTACTTATCATCAGCTCATTACTCCTTCTTATGACTCAATCAAAAAGCCGGGCCCATTCCATAACCCCAAATGGTTTTCGGCTTTGACGCAGCGTTTTATTGATTTTGTCGCGGAGAGTTGGGCAATAATGGTCGATGATCAGTCGGAAACTATTGCTTCCAATTCCAATAGTTTCCGGATGTTCTATGACTTCTGTAACTCGTTTGTTAGAAGCTTTGGCCTGTTATTGATCTGGAAACGATTGATTTGAAAATAGTCGGTCTATCCCACACGGCTCTTGTCTAACATAATGTTTTTATGAACGAAAATCAATCGCAATTTGTTTTAAAAGGTCTGTAAATGGTAAAGCAACGTTTTTACATCAAAATGATACCAAATGCGTCCAGTTTCGTCCATTTCCAGTTAATATCCATCAAGTTTCCTAAACTTCAACAGAAAAACATAAATAACATTACCTAAATCAAGCCGTCTCCAATCAATTTCTTATCCAAATCATTACCACCTTCTCCATAATAATTCAAATTAAAATCCAATCTTATGCTAATCAACCCTGACCAATTTCAGCCTAAAATATCAAACACGAACGCTTTTATACCATCCTCAATATAATCCCAACTAACTGAACCTTTCTCTCATCCCTAAATTCCTCACGCAAAACATTGTCCAGATAATGAAGCCGCTGTCTGAACCATATTTCTCTCTACAAATTTTTGAAAACGTCCCAAAAGAACTGTCTCCAGAAGCCCTTGCCCAAAAATGCCATTCAGCTGAATTGTGATCCATCCTCTCCTCTCCATTCGTACTCTTTCAGACCTGACTGCCCTAAAATAAAAAAAAACAAAACCGTTCACTCACTCATCTATCCATCATGCTGTAATTCCATGTCACAAGAAGGTTGTCTTGTCCGTTTTTACAGTTTTACATTGAATAAAGCGATTTTGTAACAGTTCGGAGTGGAGATTGATTAAAAAGATGTGAAAAACTTGAGATAAATATATATAATTGAATGAAAATCAACTCTAAAATATTACTTAAACATTACAATACATTATTTACTTATTTTGACCTTTGAACTCTAACAAACTACCTTATGAATCATGGCAAACCAATAAACCAAAAAGCTGTAAAGGTTCCGACGTATAATTCTCTTTCGCAGTTCGCAGCGCAAAAAGAAACAAAAGATGAAAGGTGGGCGCATGTCGCAATAATTCTGCACTAATTTTTGGATAATATTTTATCTCCGAAGGAGCTTTTGAAATTTCTCTGCACTTTTCTAAGGGATTTTCTGTATGAACTTATTCATTCGTACTTTACACTAGCATACCAACTTGTGGCATTTGCTAATTTTTCTTGTGTTCAACCTAAAGTTATTATTTCGATTTTTCTTTGCTAGTAAAGGTATATAGTTGATATTTTTACAACAACTTGCTTTCGTCATGGATTATTACACAGCTTATGGTCGACAAGGACGTGGACCAGTTGATGAGGTCGAAATTGTGGATAGTAAAAAGGTTCAGATTCCGTTGGTTACTGGGGTAGGTGAATTTTTTGGAGTTTACTTTGTCTATTTAATATTTAAAAAGATTAAATTGGTTTTAAATTTATTATTTTTTTAGTTATATTAGTTTCTATGTTATCAATTCTTTCAGGCCGTTGTTGAGATGACCGAAGATACTTTGGAGGACGCTGTCAAGGTGGCTACGCTTCTCAGAGCTAACAAGAATAAATTGAGTGTTTGGGTTAACTTGGCAGTAAGTTTTAGATTTTTTCTTTGGTTTTTTAGGCAAGAATCAATTAGTTTCGAAAAGATATCATGGATAACATTCCGTGAAGTCGAAAATGGGCTGTAGCTTTATTGTTCGATGTTTAAAACAACTAATTTTAGCTTCTGTACTACCGCAAAGGCCGCTACGACGATTTTGTGTTTTTGTTGAATCCCGAAAATCAACGTGGAGCCTTCACTGATTACCCAACGATCGACCGTGATCAGATGAGATCAATGGACATGTTGGCCGCTTATTATGTTCAAAAAGGGTCTGAAGAAAAGTCTCCTGAAGCTAGGAAACAATGGTTATTGGAAGCTACTTTGCTGTATTCAGCAGCTGATAAGATTATCATGTACGATCAGAATCACTTGTTGGGCAGAGCTTACTTCTGTCTTCTTGAAGGTATGGTAATATCAGGGTTTTGGGGGGAATATAGTGCTTTTTGGGTTTAATATGGCTTGTTTTGGATTTTCAGTGATCGTATAAGTATTTTTAGAGATTTTTTCTTAAATTTTAGGTAACAAATTTTTAATTGAAAAAGGTTGTTTTAAAGTATTTTGAGTAAAATCTAATGTTTTTATAGGATTATATGGGCTTTTAGAACAGGTTACGTACTTAAAATTTTTATATTTTAGGTAACAAAACGGAGCAAGCCGAAGTTCAATTCAAGTTTGTGTTGAACGATGAACAACGTGCTGGTCTACCTCCAGATGAGACTCTAACTATTCCTGCTTTGATGGGTCAGGCTTGTATCATGTATATACGAAAGGAGTACAAACAAGCACTTCAGATCTACAAGAAATGTCTTCAAATGAATCCTCAATGTCCAGCCAGCGTCAGACTTGGCATTGGCTATTGTTTGGCTAAGCTGGGCAAGACTGAAAAGGCAAAGTGAGTGAAATATCAGTACTGTAAAAGTTTAAAAATGATGTGTTTAGGCTTTTGAAAATTTAAAAGATTTGAAATTTCAGAAAAATTTTTTAAAATTTAAAAATTTTAGATTTGCTTTCAAAAGAACCCTAGACCTAGAGCCTGATAACGTGGATGCGGCCGCTTCTTTGGCTGTTCTTCAAATGACAAACTCGATGGATGGGGATGAGATGCGTGAAGGTATTCAAAGCTTGGCCCAACTGTACAAATCGGCCAAGGATCATCCACTTATCCTAAACCACTTGGCTAATCACTTCTTTATTAAAAGTGTAGGTTAATATAAGGGTATTATAGGGTTGAATGGGGAAAATATTAACTTTTTTGACTGAAAATATGAAAAGAGGGTTCTTTGTGAGGGATATTGTAGGAAAAAAGTTTTGGCGTTATTTTTCACTGATTTACAGTTTAAAAAACGACAAGACTTTTTTCCTATGGTTCTTTTTCTACTATAATATAATTTTTATGGCTATTCGACTATTCTTAAGCTACTTTTTGGTACTTTATCTTATTTTGATCAAGTAATATCACATCAAACTAACCCTACCTCTATTTCAGCAATTGGACGAAACCACGGACAAAGAATCCCTCTTAATGAAAGCAAAACGCCTCCTCGACTACGCCGTAACAGTATCCAAGAACGAGCAAATGCTATCCGAAAGCAACTTCCATCTCGGCCGCTATTTCCATGCCCAAGGCAAGGTGCACGATGCTCACAGACATTACTCATTGGCCGCTCAACAAGCCGCTCCAAAGTTTAAGCTTCCAAGCTTTGGCTACGGCCAAACCAACATCTTGCTGAAGGAATATGACAAAGCTATTGAGGAGTTCGAAAAAGTGCTGAAAATGTATCCAGAAAACTCGGACGTACTTAAGATCCTGGGTGCATTATATGCCAAACAATCGGAAAAAGAAGGCCTGCCAGAGGACGTTGTAGATGAAAGAAGGAAGAAAGCCAAGGATTACTTGAAGAAAGCGGCCAAAAACAGTCCAGAAGACATGGAGGTACTAATAGATTTGGCTGTTTTGCTACAAAGATTCGACTATAAGGAAGCCATTGCCATCTACAACAATATCGTAGACAGACTGAACGAACATGGGACTCGAACACCGCCGGAAATTGAAAATAACATGGGCGTATTGTATTTTATGTCCAAGGAGTTTAAAAAGGCTAGGGTAAGTTTTGGCTTTGAAAAATTTTGATTTTTTGGAAAGACGAGCTGCGCCCGAGCTTAGTGCAGCCTGCAAGACCTAAAAAGATTGAAATCAAGGTTTTTATTGGATTTTTGATAAGTTTTGGGCACAAAATACGAAATCCTACAAAAATATTCATTCTTTTGAACGTTTGGCTTTTAATACAGCGAGCTGCCTAACATAATTTTGAAATTTTAACAAAAATTGATTAAAGCAATATTAGATATAAAATCTGTAAAATAATTGTTTAGGAATGTTTTCTATCGTGCCGCGAAGTCCTTGTAGCGAGTGAGACGATGGACGCCAAGACGAAAGCATCAATAATATCGATCACCTTCAACTTGGCCAGATGCGACGAGAAATTGTACAAGTTCGGCGAAGCCGAGCGAATTTACAAAGGAATTCTGAAGAAGAGACCGAGCTATATGGATGGTAAGATTTTTGAATTTTTTTGGAGTTTTTAAAGTTTTTTGAGATGGAAATAAAGTTTTTGCAAAAGAAAGTTTTTTTTTGAAAAAGGAATGAATTTTACTAAAGCATGCCAAATTTCGATTGTATTTCATTATAAAAATGCAATTTTTTACTATATTTTACTAAAAAATGACATTTTAGCTATGTTCCGCCTGGGCTGTATCAACTACCGCCGTGGCGACAGCACCGCCGCCATAAACTACTTCAAAGAGGTAATGGCAGCCGATCCAAAACATATTGACTCATGGCTTATGACTGGCCAAACCCTCGCCGATCAAGGTCAGCTGGATCAAGCACGAAAAAAGTACGAACACGTACTCAACAGCAACAAAATACCCGACCCAATAGCCCTCGTACTCGCCGGCAACATCTATGTCAAGCACCTCATGAACGTGAATCGAAACCGAAAAGAGGACGAAGCTCAACGGGACCGTGCCTTGAAGTTCTTCCACAAGGCCCTTAGGGTAAACCCGAAAAATGTGTACGCAATGCACGGTGCTGGTATTATATTTTGTCAGAAAGGCGACTTGAACACGGCCAGAGAGTTCTTCGGGCCAGTGAAGGAGAGGATCAGCGATTATCCTGATGTTTGGATCAACACTGCTAATATTCAGGTAGGCTTGGGATTAGATTGTGGTGAATATAGAGGTTTGATATGGTGATAATGAGAAGAATTGTGGGATTCTGAAAGGGTGATGATAGGAAAGATAGTGAGATTTGGAGGGAATAATCATGTGGACTATAGCTGGTTTTTGGGGGAATGATCATGGTGAATAAAGGGGGTATTGAAGACGTGATAATAGGCAATATAGTGGGGTTTTGAGGCTATGATTGTGGTGAATATACTATACGTAATACTCAAAATAAAAAAATGTTTTTGAGAAAAAAAGTCAAAAGGGGGGACCAAGCTGAAAATTTTGAAAAAAAATTTTTTTGAATTTGTTTGAATTTAAAATTTAGTTTAAAAAATGAAAGAACTGTAGTACTTTGATAGGCAGAATGTGTTTTTGAAGCTCACGGTAAGTGTTATGGAACGATTTTTCAAAACTATTTGAAGGAAATCAACAGGGGGGACCAAGCTGAAATTTTCAAAAATAAAAAAATTTTTTGTTTGACTTCGATTAAAAATATGGATAGGTAGGTTTATAATGTGATGTAAAATATAAATCAAGCTGGAGAAATTGGTTTTTCAAAAAACGTTTAAAAATTTTACTTTTTCAGCTCGACACCAACAACTACCAAAGCGCAGTCCAAATGTACATGACGGTAATGCGTCGTTTTAAAAAGCGAAAAAGCCCGGAAATCCTAACAAACATTGCCCATGCCTACTACAAACTGGCCAAGTACGAGCAATGCTTGGACTTTTTGGATCGAACTATCTGTCAAGATCCCAAGAACCTGGTCCACCGCTTCAATTACGGTGTAGCCGCGTTAAAAGCCTGTGCTGCCATTATAAATGACACTAGAGCAACCGAAGCCAAAGTGAAGCAAGCTATCGACCGGTTGAGCTCGTCGGCCAAAGCTTTGAGGGAGATTCAGAAAATGCCACAGGAAAAGGTTCAGCCCTACAGGTATATTAGTAGAACTTTGTGTGGAGAGATCGCTGACAAATTGGAAGATTTACAAAGACAAGGGGATGTGTTTGTGGGCAGAGCAGCTGTAAGTTTAAGTTTTTTAAACAGAAAGCTTAAAAAATTAGAAAATTGTTACCTAAAAGGCTTTTTTTACTGATCTAAATCAATATTTTTACCTTTATCTTACTCTGCCTTACTGTATTTTATATTTTTTCAACTATATATTACCCTTTTCAACCTTAACTTTTTCTCTTTTAGAAGCACGAAGCCGAAGAGTTGGAAAGAATGCGCGAGAACGAGCTAGAGCGCCGTCGTGTCATCCAAGAACAACGTCGTTCCGCCAAACACCGTGAAGAACAAGAATCCCTCCAACTGGAGCAGCTGAAGTTCAAACGTACCTACTTTGTCCATCAGACCAAAGAAGCTCTTAAGCAACGTGAAATTGAAGAAGAACGGCCGAAACGGTCTGGTGGATCAGGCCGCAAACGCAAGCGTGCCAAGGAAGAGGACGACTTTGTCAATGATTCGGACGATGATGGCAGAGATCCGGCGGAGAGAAAGGAGGAAAAGAGAAAGAATGCTCAGAAGGTAGGTTGAGATTGATATTATTAAATGTAGAGATAGATATTAATATTGATTTTAACATTGATATGGAGGAGCTTTATGGATTGTTAGACATTTGGATGGTTTGGAGGGGGTTAAGAGGTAGATTGGGCTAGATTTGGTTAAAAGCTAGCTAAATATGGGTAGATTTGGTTAAGAGCTAGCTAGCTTGTATCAGATTTACGCTGAATTTTTTTAAAAGTTTTGAAAAAAAATTTTTTTTTGAAAAATTAAATTTTTTAATGCAGGTAGACGAAGAGGGTGTATTAGTTTTGTATTGAGTTGGTTTTTTTGGATTGACAGATTGAAAACTTGATTTTCTTATTTTTTGTCGAAAAAAGTTCACATGGACCAAGCAAATTTTTTTGGAAATTTCGAAATTTTTTTTCAAAAATTAAAGTTGTTTTCAAATTACCACCAACTTAATCGTACACTCAAATAAAACCAATATTTTCAGGCCTCACGCCGCAACAAGAAGAAAGACCGCGACTTCATCAACGACGGCAGCTCGGACGAGGAATCCAAGAGTCGGCGGAAGAAGGCGAAGAAGTCGGCCGAAGAGATCGAAGAGGAGGACGCCAAGAAGTTCAAAGGCAAAGTCAAGTCCAAAGCCATTATCGAATCCGAGCCGAGCTCGTCTGACTCCGACAACAACCAAGAAGAGGTACCGACCATCAGGAATCGAGACATTGGATCGGATTCGGATAACGAAGCCGAGAAGAAAGCTGCTTCGTCAGACTCAGAGCCGGAGGAAGCATCTGCTCGAAAGAGGATTCTTACGGATTCTGATGACTCGGATTGATCTAGATTAACTTCTTGGCCGAATATCAAAATTGTATTGTATCTTCTTGGCTTCTGAAGGAATGTTTGGCCGTTTCAGTACTATAAATCACTAATAACGTTGAATGTTGTAATTTGTTCATAATTATTTGTTTTTGCATAAAGTTATTTTTTTCTTTACATCGGAATTATTGATTGTTTTGTTATAAGTTATTAACTTGGTGTCACTGTATTTTTTGAATTATTTTTTTTTGAATTTTTAAAAATTTGATTTTTTTTTGAAATTTGAGAATTTTTTAATTTGAAAAGCAAGGTTTTGAGTTTTTTTTGAAGTTTTTGTTGTTATGGTTGGACCTACGCTGGGCTCCTGGGCTTTGATTTGGCCCCATTTTACAGGCCGCCCTACTGCCGGTCCTATTTTTTCAAGCTTGTTTTGACAGGCCGGGACTAGCAGGCCATTCTTTCAATTCTAGCCTCGACTTTTACCTAAATTTTCAAAAACACAAGAAGTAATGTGTCCTCCCCAATTTTACCTTGCAATTTCCACGTTTTTTCCATTAACAGTTGAAAATAACGCGAAAATGGGATGATTTGCCTTTCCGAAAGCAGTTTTTTGGGTTTAACACTGACTTTTACCTCAGTTTTTATGTTTTTTGGGTTGATCAGTTTAAAATGGGTTTTTAATACAGTTAACCCTTTGAAATATAGGTTCGAAGGTGTGTAGTTTCGGATTTTTTAAAGGGGGTATTAGGGGTTTACTTTGCCTAATGTTAGGAGTTTTACTTGCTCAGTATTAGGCTTTTTACTTTGCCTAGTGTTAGGGCTTTTATACTCAATATTAGGGCTTTAAATTTTTTCAGTTTCAGGGTTTTTACCTTGCTTAGTATCAGAACTTTTACCTCGCTTATGAACAAGGCTTTTACTATGCCCAGTACCAAGCCATGGACAAAGCTTAAATTTTCCGATTTATTATAGAAAGCAGGACACGGTAAGTCACTCTGCCTTATGCTCAAGCCTGAGATCAAAGCCTCTAAACAAGAGATTATTAAAATGGCAATTGGTAGAGATTATTACGTCAAGGCTTATCGCACAAAACTTGGCTTTGTTGGCTTTATTCTGAGCTGAGTGCCTAGTTGTAGTCAAAGTTTTTAGTGTTTTATGAGGTAAAGGGTAACATGTGTTATAACACTAGATCAGTGTGTAGTATAGGGTTATAAACTAAAGGTTTACGATTTTAAGTAAGGTAAAGGGTTCTACTATCTTAATATTAATTTTTGGGTTTGTATTTGAAAGTTTGGTTGTTTTATGAGATATGAAAGCTCATTTTTTCACTATTTTTTCTTGTTTATATTATTGTTTCTTCAATTTTTATTAATATGATATTTATATTTACTTTTTTAAAACGTTTAAATGTGTTGTATACACTTTGTAACATTATAAAAAGTTGAAAAATGTAACTTTTATACCTAATTTTAAGTTAAAAATGCCATTTCTAACCCCAAACCCAGCAAAAAGCTTTCTTCCGTTGCCGGGAATCGAACCCGGGCCTTGCGGGTGAGAGCCGCAAATCCTAACCACTAGACCACAACGGAACACGGCGCTCTCCGCTTCGCGTTGAGAGACAAACAAAAACGGGTCGTTAAGTTCTCGCTCGCCGAGCGAAAAATGGCTTTTTCGACTGGAATTCGTTGGGAAAAGGGGGTATATGCTTTCAAAATTTTGCTGGATTTTTCTTAAATTACAAGTTTTTCGGTTCTTCGTTGTCATGTTTGAACTTGGCTGTGAAAATGGGATTCGAAAAGGAGCTGCCAAGGGGTTTTTGTCCTCTTTTTCAAAATATACTGATAATAAACAACTTGTTTTTTTTGTTTACTTATACTTTTAGCAAAAAAATGTTTGTAAATAGCCTAGTTTTTCATGATTTGGGCAATACTACTTTTTTGAAAAAATTGAACTATTATCTATAGTCTTTTTGTTATTTTTTTCACTTTCATATTTTTTTTGTGTTTTTGATGCTTTTTTAATTACTTGTGTTATGCACCTGCCCTTCAATCACCCGCCATTTTTCTTAAGTGAAAGGATTCTGTAAAGCTTTCTGAGGTCATTTACGTAACGTGAGTTCAGATGAGTGCTGTGGAAAGGCGGGGCTCTCGTTAAGCTATTTCTACACGCCTAACATAAAGCATACCTAAAGAAGGCTTGGTCTTGGCTTTTTGACGTATGCTTGTTCATCAGACATAAATTTTGGTGTTGTCTTAGCCTAGCTGTGTCTCTCTTGGTTAATATATTGAGTTTGACTCAAAAAATGTTCATATAGCAACTTACTGTTGTAAGATACGAGTTTAACTTTGTATCGTACGACAGAGCCCTTACTTTTGTCTTGTAATGCCGGGTTTTCATCGTGAACATCGAAGAACGTATTGTCTTGAAAATCGAATAACCGAATTCTTAAAACGTGATTTATAGTTGAAAATCTTCAGGGTTTTTAACCATGAACGGTGTTGACTACTTTTATGAGTACACCGATGAGGAGCTGGTGGAGCTCATGGAGGACCCATGGAAGGTCAAGATGGCCAACCTTGGCCAGTGTTACGAGGGCATCGGCCTTTTCTACTGGCCTCTCTGGAAGAGGCCAGTGGGATTCGCCTTGGTCCAGTTGTTGGTCTATGTGACCGCGCAGTTCCAGTACAGTAAGTTAATTGAACGTTACTCTATTTTTTACGAGACTTAACGCAAGGAAAATAATGATAACAATCTTCAAAATAAACATTACAATAATTAAAATAACTAACAATCTAAAAATAACTATCTTCAACAATATATTCAATGACTATTATTTCAGTCACGGAACGAACTGCGCACATTGTTGTAACAGTGTTAGGACTGTACTTGCTGTATACACAATCAGCAGTAATGGGGCACTTCTTTATTCCCATTATTTGTTGGGCTTTGTTTTATGGCACAGACCAGCTAATGCTAGGCCGCAGTGATCGCGGCAATTTGAGTTTGATCTTGGCCATTATTTGCTTGTGGTTTTGGTGAGTATTAAAATTTTTTTGAACTAAACGTCCCAATTTATTACCTTCTTAATAAGTGTACTAGTCATCTGTTGGCTTAAACATTTTTTGTGTAACTGTATTTTTTTAGGCAAATAAACTTGTCATCGGAAGGCTTCATGCAGGTTCGCGGAGTCTTGATGATTATGTGTATGAAGATGGTCTCGTTATCATACGACGACCTTAACCCAACGTTCTTTGAGCATCTAGCATTAGTGTTCAACCCAGCCACAGTCATCTTTGGGCCATATATTTCCTTGGATCAGTTTCGAAGAAACATGGTGCGGCCAAACACAACGCTGAAGTCGCTTCTCTTGGTGTTGGTCTACTCGGCAGTAGCATTCGGGTTCTGTTTCTACAGTACTTGTTTAGTCGAGCTTCTACCCAGTGAGCCGGAGATGTTGGAGGACTTTAAGAACGCCCAGGCCTTCAGATTCAGCCACTTTTTCGTGTGCTACATTTCGCTGACTACAGCTTTGATGGCCGGGTTTTCATCCTCGTTCCAAGTAGCTGGGGCTTTGGAAGTTGAGTGGCCGAAGTCTATGTCAGAAGTTGTAATTCATTGGAACTACCCAATGCATGAGTTTTTGCACAAATGTAAGATTTTACTTGTGTTATCCTTTTTTCATAGTTATTAATCCTACTATGACTGACTTCATAATCTTTTTTCAATTATTTTAGCTGGGTTTGCATGTAATTATTGTTTTAAATTGTACTGTATAGACAACATCATACTTGCTGTATTGTTTTAGACATTTTCCGTCGCTTAGTTCACACTAACTATGCCTTGGCAATGCTGGCAACTTTTGCCATGAGCTCAATCTTGCACGGCCTTAATTTCCAACTTTCGGCCGTTTTAACATCGTTGGCCTTCTACGCCTACGTTGAAACCGTGTTTCGCCAAAAGCTTGGCAACTTGCTTAACGTTTGTGCTACTGGTAAGAAGTGCAAAAAGTGCACGCACCAAAGCGACAACACTTCAGTTACTGCGATCGCTATTAGCTTGATATTCACTATGATCAATGTTTATCATTTGATTTATCTGGGCATGGCTTTCGATGGTACTGAACAGGAAACGGGCTACTCATACAAACACACGATCTCACACTGGTCGCGGTGGAACTTTTCGTCCCATCTCATTGCTGTATTTATGTTTTTCATAGGTCTCTTGTAATTTGCTATTGTTTCTCCTACGGTTAATTTATTGTAAAACCTCGTTGATATTCAACTTCATAGATATTCCTAGAAGTTTTTTTTAATTATTTTAATTTTTTATCTGATGTTAATTTGTAGCTTCTGTGCCTGGTAACATAATTTATTACCCAAAACACTGTTGATTACGGATATTTTGACACAAATTCTCAACTAAATTTACGGGTGTTATGACTTTGTCAGTCTTAACGCAAGTGCATTTAAATATTGTCTTCAATAAACGATTATTTATCTAAATCGGCAGAAATTATAAAGCTTTTAAAATTTTTAACCTCGAATTCGGCTCAGATTGCGAGATTATGGAGTTCTACAGGCTGCGGGAGACTAGTTATACGATGAAAATGGTTTTTAACTTAAAATTGAAAAAAACGTGTTTAAAAAAATAAACATTAACAAAAAACAATAGGCTGCGCTGCTTTGCGAGATTACAACCTTCTGCAGGCTGCAGGAGACAAATTATACGATGAAAGCTGTTATAAATAAAAAAGTTGAAATATATAAAATATGAATGAATATGGGATTTTTTATGTTGAGAATGTTTGCCAAGTTCATAAATTCATTTCAAAACGAAAATTTCAACAATTTTATTCAAATTTCTGAATGTTCTTACCGATCGGTATAAAAACCTTATTTTTCGCGATTTCGACTCATTTTCGGTCGATTTTCAAATCGATAATTGTTGAACAAGAATGAGCTCCTACTGTGGCCTTCAGGGATCGTATGTTGCGGCGGGAAACGGTCGTATGATGCCCAAATCGACTTATGTTCAACCGCAGGCATCGACCCGTTCGTTCGAGGATGTTGAGGATGACGAGATCACGGATACCATCGAACAGCCGATCAAGGTGAATGTTGGTGGGGATGTGGTGAGTAGAAGTTTTTCCTTAATTTTGATATTTATTGCTATTTAGGTAGTTTTTCTAATTTTTCAACAGTTATTTCATAATTTTCGAGCTTTTTTGACCTTGTTTTAGCTATTTTATCAATTTTCAGGCTCATGAGAAGACCAAGAAACCAAAAACCGCGTCAAAGCCATCAAAAGTTTTTGCGAAGCCAGCCCAACCCGTCTTGAAGCCAGTCCAACCCGTCTTTAAGCCAGCCCAGTGCAACAACGGCTTCGTCTACTCTCTCTACGCTGATCAAGGGCTGGGCGATCGAAACGCCTTTGAACAGCCACCTTCAGATGCCGAGGACGAAGGCACCGTGACTCCAGTGAACGACGAAGACAATTGGGAGCGTCAACGCTTGGAAGAGGAAGCAGATCAGGCCTTGAAGAACTACGAGGACATCAAGAAACGACTAATCGAGCTGGAGCTGAAGGGGAGATCGAGCACGAAGAAGGTGGGCTTCAGAAGTGAGCGGGAAGTGGAATCTCAGTCTAGCGTCAAGGTAGAGCCAGTTCAGTATCACGTGGAGCAAAAGCCGTCTGTCAGACAGGATTATGGAGATGCTGAGTCAATGTACATTGGCATTCCCAATACGATGTACGCGGCCAAGAAGCAGCCCTCCAAAGATTATCACTATGAACCAGCGACCGCTGCTTCAGCTCCATCAGTCGAACCTTTGACTTCGACCGAATTGGAGTCTAACCACGATGCTTTTAGTCATTATCACCTACCTTCACTCAGAGACGTCTATTACTGCGAATAAGTATTATATTGTTTTTGGTCTTGTTGGAATGAAGACTATATTGTTTTAGTTTAAAGAATAAAGATTTTTTTAGGTTTTTTTGATGATTAGGATTTGTGTTGTTTTAGGTTGAGTAGAGGTTTGATTTGGAATAAGATTAGGCTATTTTACGTCTGATTGTTATGGGGTTGATTTTTAATGAGAGATGTATTGTGTGTGGGCCAAAGCTATATTGTTTGATTGATTGGGACTAAACTTCATATTGTTTAAGGTTTGAATAGGTATTGCAAGACTTTGAACAAGGATCATATTGCTTTAGGTCTATTTTACCGTTATTTAAGGTAAGGTTTGTTTTAGATTTCTCTTTCTGGAGTTGAAGGCTGTCTTATATTGTACTTGTTTAACTTAGTGTGAGGATTATTGTTTTAGCTTTGATACGGGATTGGAATTATGTTGTTTTAAGACTGATTGGTCATAAAGGCTATACTTTTTATGTTTAACTGTGAATAAAGACTATTTTCTGTCAGTTTTATATTATTTTGAAGGTTTTTTGGTTTTACGCCTGGGTTTAAAATATTTTTTTAAAAAATTTTATGATTTTTGAAAGGTTCGTAACTTTTACATGTTCAATACACACTTTTTATGATGTCAGTTGCCTTACCGTGACATATTATGATTTGTTTTTGAACTCTGTGATGATGAAGATGTTACTTTTCCTAACGTCTTTATCGTCACAGAGATGTTTTGATTGTTAAAGAAAGTTTTTGCTATGTTTTGATTTGTAAAGAAAGTTTTTGCTATTTTTCGTTTTGTAAAGAAGTTCATTTCATCTTTAAGTTTATAAATCTATAAATTTACTATTTTAGGTTTGCCTTATGATCGAGTTCCATTAAGTCTGACGTTAAAAAACGACAGGACTTTTATCACCTCAAATACGCCATAATTTACCGCAACATAATCAAGTTACAGATTGAAGTTGATTTGAGAGTCTACAACAAGATGATCTTCAAAATCAAAGCGATTGGTAAGTATTTTGATAAATTTTTGTGGGTATTAAAACAAAAATGGATTTCTGGTGCTTATATTGGGGTAAAAGAATTCCTGTCGTTAATTTGTATTGATTTTCACGGTAAAATGCGGCAAAACTTTTTTAAACGTTTGATAGTAGTTTGAAAATTAAATTTTAATGTTTTTACTACTAGGTATTGTTATTTCCAATCATTTGTTACAATATCTTTTATCAAATTAATTAAAAAGATTAATTTTCCAAAAAATAGTTGTAGCATCTACTAAAATATATTGTGGTTTTTTTGATATTAACCATGATGAAATGAATTTCATCATGTATCTATGAAAATACAATGTAGCCAGGACAAAAGACACGATTCCTCTTTTGTGCATCATGGTTTACATTCGAATTGCAAGGGAAGCGTTATCAGTACCAGTAACTTACATCAGGCTTATCGTTCTTTTCTTTAATAACGAAAAATTAAAAGTTTTGACTGATAAAAACCCCTCCGGCGAATTTTGATGTCTTACTGTTTTTTTAGTCTTTTAGAATGGTCATTTTTTAAAGGGTAGGGTATGGAGTGGCAGGTTAGGGTAGCGGAGGGTTGGGCAAAGAAGGAGATGTTAGCTTAGGGTGGGGTAGTGTAAGGTAGGGAAAAGCTAATTTAAGTGTAGAATAAGGCACTGTCAGAGTAAGGGTAAACCTTAAGGTTGGCTAGGCTGGGATAGGTTAGGTTAGTGCTAAGGTAAGTGAAGGTAGGGTAAGGTAAGGTAATGTATGGTTGAAAAACGGGCCGGGTCAGGCTCACTTTTGAGGCCCGGGACTTAACTTTTAGACCCTCAGGCCTCGGGCAGGTCAAAAAATTTTTAGACTCGGCCTGGCTTGGCTTGACTTAAAAAAAGCTTGGTCCTATTTTTTTTAAGTACGGCCCGCGGGCCGGGCCTAACTTGTAGGTCTGACCGTTTTAATTATACCTCAAAGCCGGCCCGGTCCGATTGTAGGGATGGGCCGGGCGTACACGGGGCCGTTTACCAACCGTAAGGTACAGTAGGTTAGGGTATTTTAGGGTAAGGCAGGGTAATGTAGAGTAGGGTGGGGTAGCTTTAAGGATGTGGGGTAGGCTAAGGAAAAGATAAAATTTGCTGATTTTAAAAAAAGTTTAGATACAAAAATAATTTTTAAATAAATTTCAGGCTTTTCTAATTAGTGATGAATCAAGTCATGATTCTTACTTTTTCGTAAAGCAAAAAAATCTGTTTTTTTAATTTTTTTTATTTTCAAAAACCGTAATTTTTAGCAAAACCCCGGCTAATTGCCCTCAGGCATCATCATGCGGGGCTGGTCTCTACGGCCACTGTATGGTGCATTACTGGTACTATGTGTGTTGTTCAGTGTCATCAATGCTGATTTGTACCAAGATGAAGTTGTGGATCTACCTGGAGTCACATTCGACTACCTTCATCGTCACTTCAGTGGGTACTTGGACACTCCCAAGGGCAGTAAATTACATTACTGGTAGGTTTTTGATTAGGTTTTGTGAGCATTACTGTAATTTGTGGGTATTTCTTAAAAAGGATTAGGTAGGGCGAACAGAACTCGGCTAGGGCAGGGCTGTTTTTGGCGTTGGGTGGGGCAAAGGTAAGGATACGATTGAGCTTGACAATCGTATTATTGGTATGTTTGGTTGGTAGGGTGGATATATGGTGCTTCGGATAGGATAAAGTAGGGTAGTATAGGATGGACTAGGTTTGGGTTACGGTAGTACGAGGGTTAGGGAGAGTTAGGATTGGGTAAGGTTAGGGCATGGTCACGGTAAACTATAGTATAGATCTTACTGGAAAGGAGTATGTCTATGATAGGGTACTGTAGCGTAGGACAGAGAAGCTGGTGGAAAGGTAAGGGGGGGGTGGGTGGAATAGGTAGGGTAGGGTAGGCTAGGGTAGGGTAAGTTAGGGTAGGGTAAGGTATAATACGATAATACCATCTGTAATCTAATTAAGGTTTGTCATAACTCAAACAGTAGCTTAATACCTATTTTTGTGTTTGTTGACACAACCGGCTACTACAAGGAAACTGATACGAAAGTACAAACATAAAACCCTTATCAATACTTATGAATTATTTATTTAATTACAAGGTTCTTTGAGACAATACTAATAAGGCAATTAGCTTGTTATCTTAACAAAGATGGACATGAAAAGTTTTGTTTCGGAAAAGCATTGAAGTTTGAAAGGATAGGCACGTAAAACGAAAGTTTTAAGAATTAAAAAAAATTTTAAAATTTACCCCAAAGAATAAAAAATTTTACTCCGCCCAAGGTTTTTAAAGATAATGCGCTAATTTTTCTTGGCGAGTTTTAAAGTAATTTTTTTTAAGTTTAAAAAAAAAAGAATAAAAAATCCACCCCCGAAAAAAATTTTACCCTGCCCAACTTTATTAAATAAAAAAAATAAAATGCAAATTTCTTTTGTGAATTAGGTTTTTCTAAGCTGTTTTTTATTAATTTTTAAAAAAAATTGAAAATCCACCCTCAAAAAAATTTACCCCGCCCAAATTTTTTTTTGAAAATTGGGTATAATATGTAAATACCTGCAAGAAAATGAAAATTAACATCCACAAAAAATTTTCTACACCGCCCTAGTATAAGTTTAAATATTTTTCAGGTTTTTCGAGTCCCAAAATGACCCAGCCAAGGATCCATTAGTTTTGTGGCTGAATGGAGGGCCAGGTTGTTCATCAATGCTTGGCCTTTTCACTGAGATTGGCCCGTTTCGACCGAATCCAGATGGCGAAACGTTATTTGAAAATGTGCATTCTTGGAATAAGGTAGGGGTGGTAAAATACGGAAAGCGGAATCGCGTTATTTAAAAATTTTCAACATAATATTGACTTTTCAAAGTTTTTGAATTAAAAATTTTTTAACTTAAAAAATTTGATTTTTTTAGCTAGCCAACATCATTTTTCTGGAAGCTCCGAAGAATGTTGGGTTCTCAACTGGCACTAACATTACCTATTCGGATGATTTGGTAAGGTTAAATCGAAGTTTTTTAATGAGGGGGGGGGGATTGATAAAAAAAATAGTGGGTCGGTTAGGCAGGGTAGGATTGATAAAAATATCTTTTATACGTCAAGGCTGATATGCAAGATTTTTAAGGCATGGTAAATTAAAAGTAAGGGTAGATTTTAAGGATACAGTAGGCTCTAAGGCTGTTTGGCTTAAAACTTGGCCACACACAGTTTATGGTAGGAAAGAACTTGGCAGGGTTAATATAGACAAATGCTCATAAGAATGAAGTTTTTCAAGAAGTTGTACCTGTTAGTTTAAGTTAGGGTAAGGTAGGGTAGGGTAGGATAGGGTAGGGTAGGGTAGGGTAGGATAGGGTAGGGTAGGGTAGGGTAGGGTAGGGTAGGGTAGGGTAGGGTAGGGTAGGGTAGGGTAGGGTAGGGTAGGGTAGGGTAGGGTAGGGTAGGGTAGGGAAGGGTAGGGTAGGGTAGGGTACGATAGTGTAGGGTTGAGTAGGATAGGGTAGGATAGGGTAGGGTAGGGTAGGGTAGGATAGGGTAGGGTAGGGTAGGGTAGGGTAGGGTAGGGTAGGGTAGGGGTAGGGTAGGGTAGGGTAGGGTAGGGTAGGGTAGGGTAGGGTAGGGTAGGGTAGGGTAGGGTAGGGTAGGGTAGGGTAGGGTAGGGTAGGGTAGGGTAGGGTAGGGTAGGGAAGGGTAGGGTAGGGTAGGATAGGGTAGGGAAGGGTATAGTAGGGTAGGGTAGGGTACGATAGTGTAGGGTTGAGTAGGATAGGGTAGGGTAGGGTAAGGTATGATAGGGTAGGGATGGGTAAGTCAAGGTAGGGTAAGAGTAAAAACAGCATCGAAAACTAAATTTTAATTTCCAGACGGCTGAAGACAACTTGGAAGCTCTGTCGGAATGGTTCAAACGTTTCCCAGCCTATCAGAATCATGAGTTTTACTTAGCTGGAGAATCCTACGGTGGTGTATATATTCCAACGTTGGCTAGGCTGGTCTTGAAGAATGTATGTTGACATTTTTAGTACAAAACATACTATAACAATGTTGTTACAGTACCAAATGTAACATCATATAATAGTATTTATATAGTACCAAACGTACAATAATAGTAGTCTTATGGGAAAAAATGTATTATCATAGCACTCTTATAGTACCTAACGTACCATCACTATTCATATTCTAGTACTTTTATAGTATTAACCATACTGTCATAGTAAACTTATAGTACCAAACGTACTGTCAGTGTACACCTACTATTACAATTATTTTCATCTCATGTCTATAAAACCAAACCAACTCCCATAGTATCAAAACTAATTTCTCAATTTCAGCCATCAAAAGTCCCGGCCAACTTTGCCGGCTTCCTAATCGGTAATGGTATCTACAGCTACAAGACCAACGTCAACTCCTTTATCAACCTGGCCGTGAATCGAGGACTGGTCGATCGAAAAGTGGTCAACTATCTGGTCGATCATTGCTGCAAAGACCAGATATTCGGATTCTGCGACTTTTTCAACTTTGTTCACATCAGCGAAACTGGCAAAATGACCGTGCGCAACTTCACGGACGCCGTTGATAAGGAATGTGCCAAGAAGATCGTCAAAATCGCTGATACCGACTTCTGGCACCTCGAAGGCTACTCATCGTACAATTTTGCACAAGACTGCTACGCAAAAGACTATAGTACCAGCACGGCACAACAAACCTTCTTGAACACCGTGCTGAGGATTCAGGATGCCAAAACTAATGGAATAGAAGCATTGGTCAGTGATGGGGTCAATCGACATGTCAATCAAGGTGTAAGTTGGCATTTATATTGTTGGGCTAAGGTTTGGCATGGTAATGTTGAAGAAGAGAACAAAAAAAAAGGTTAAGGTTAAGATATATGACTGTTTATAACATATATGGATTTTTTCTTTTATTACATAAGTTTTAAACTTATGTACGTGCGAATTATCGAATTATAATAATATGGTTATATATACATATGATTTGATTTTTTGCTTTTACGTGGGTCTTCAACTTATGTACGAGCGAACTATCAGATTATATGGTTATATATATAGTATTTATTTTTGCTTTTATCTGGTTTTCCAACTTGTGTACGAGCGAATTATCGGATTATATGATATATATGGTTATATACATATACTTTGATTTTTTGCTTTACTATGATTTTTAACTTGTGTACGAGCGAATTTATAACTTTGTACAACGGACTTTTGGCGCACCCTGTACTGTAAAATCGAACTGGGCTAGTCAGAGCTAATGAGACTCTTTCCAACTCCGCTCGAGAACCGAACACACCGACAATCGTATATAACCGAAATAAATCTGACCGACAATATTGTATATGGTATTTACCTCCCGAAAACAACCAACAAAGTTATAAGATCATAAAACAATACAGTCGACACCCTTCTACGTATTGCGGGTCCAAACGGGGGCTGGTCAAATCCACCCAACCGTCCACTCCTGTGTAAATCTTTAAGACTGACCATTCTTCTCCTTGAGGAGATTGGGGCGAGTGCGGGCGGAATGCCAAGACGCTCTGGTTACTCGAACTGTTCTAAACGACCTTCAGCTTTAAGTTCAAGTAAGAAACGTCCGACTCCTTCGAACTGTAACAAAGAGAAGGCTCAATCTTTTCAACGTTCATTCGTTCCTAGCTTTAAACCGAGTAAAAGAGCTACTGAATTTCAAGGTTCAACTCCAGAAAGCATGCCTCCTGTTCAAATTTCAAAAAATTTTTTTACAGAACCCCCTGTTTCGGCAGTTACTGTTCCAGAAATTCCCTAGTAAAACAACTTGATATTATTCAGAAAGTGAAAGAGTGGCGGGGGGCCCGGTCTGTGGTTGGCTAGCCCCCACGGCACCTTTCTGTGCGGTGGACCGTTCCCGGTGAGGGCCAAGACGTACCCTCCCTCAGGAACGGTTCGGGCTCTTTGTCTTGTCAATTGGGGCTCTATGAAAGCTCCAACTTCTGTCTGGGACTCAGAGGGGTTTGTATGGTTGGTTGTCGGTCCTGAGACCCGCGATCTGATCAGTACTGGCGCGCGCGTAAAAGTTTTCCTTTGGCCTATCCCTGGCCTTATTCCCTGGCCTATTCCTGGCCTATTCCCTGGCCTATTCCCTGGCCTATTCCCTGGCCTATTCCCTGGCCTATTCCCTGGCCTTATTCCCTGGTAGCTACATCTACCGTACTCCTCAACCCGGGTTGGTACATAAAGTCTGTCGACCGTCACTCGCGGTGAGTCGGCGGCCGGATCGATCGATCGATCCCGATATCCAACAATCCCTGGCTTAAATAGTTGCCCCGATCGGCCCCGTTCCCACGACTGATCATGGCCGCGATGAGACACACATTCCTCGGCCCACGCGGGTTTCCGCGTCTTGATATGATTTGTGTCCTGGCCGGAGCCATCAAATTATGTTATTTCTTGGTTTGGACTTTGGTCCTAAACTAGGATTGATGCCTTGCGCATCACTAGAATATGAATTGCAATAAAAAATTCCGCTTTTATAATCCAATATTGTTTCAGTACCTCCAAAACCACTTGTCCAGCGACGCATTCGGCGGATTCCCATGCTACGCTCACGGTGCCATCTACAAATATCTCAACCGGGAAGATGTGAAGAAGGCCATTCATGTCGAAGGCGACTGGGACATGTGCAAGTAAGTCTTTGTTATTGTTTTGTGATTTTAGGTATGAAGGAGAAAGTTGATCGATTTGAAGGTAAAATGAGGTGAAATCATGTGTATTCTTAATGTTTTTTAATGAAAAGTTTAAATAAGTTGTAGAAAGGAAGAACATACGTATTGATTACCGTTTTAGTCAAAAAGAACATGAGATTTAAAGAAAACAAATTAAAATTATATTGTAGTAGGTGTTTGACGAAAATCGGCGCGTTAGTTATCGAAATTGGCTTTGAATAAACAAATTCTTGATTGGATTAGCTAGATTAAAGTGTTGCAAAACTAACAAGCTATAAAATGTTATATTTTTCATTAAAATAAAAGAGAACGGCCAGAAATTTGACATGAATTCTTAAATTATATTGTAATAGGGAAATTTGATGTTTTGTGAAAGGAAACGCGCTTTTTCGGTAAAATTATTGTTTGAATTAGATAGAAAAATGTCTTCCGGAGCTAATAAGCTATAATTTAGCTAGCATTGTGTGAAGTTTATGTTAATATTGAGGGAGAAACATCAAAAAGTCCTTTGATCAATTTGGAACGGTTTTCGACGACAATTTTGGGCCGAAATGCCATTTCTTTTTATAAATTATTGTGTTTTTCTATTTTATAGGTATAGATCAATGTTTTTTATATCAAAAAAATAAAAAACCGATTTAATTCACCTCAATTTTCAGCGACTACCTGGACGATGTCTACCTACAACAATATCAGGACACAAAAGAAGTCTTTGACGAAATTTTTGTCTTCAACAAAGACCTAAAAGTTATGCTGTTCAACGGTGACACGGATGGAGTGTGTAACTTCCTCGGAACGGAATGGTTCATTGAAGACAACTTCCAATGGGATTCAGAATCCGATCGTACGCAATGGCTGTTCCAGAAGGGCGACTTCATTAAAACCTACGCCGGCTTTCAAAAGAAGTTCCAGAAGAACAAAGTTAAGCTTGATTTGGTGACCGTGGCTGGCGCCGGGCATTACGTGCCGACGAATCGGCCCGGACCCGCCATCCAGATGTTGAGGAACTTCTTGAATGGAGAAAGAGACTATAGTACGAGTGCGTTGATCGACGAAACTGAGAAAACCATCAAGAATCGTTATTTGGAACAGGTCAGAAGTCCAAGTAGGTTTATTGAGGGTGTACATATTGTTATTGCCTCGACAGTTCGATAAAATGGAAAAAATGGGCACAGCCTGACAATCTTTAGTGTTTTGCAGGCTGCGGGGGCCAAGTTATCCGATGAAACATGTTCCAACTTGAAATTAAAAAACTGTTTTTAAAAGACAAAAAGTTTAAAAATAAACCAATTATGACTAAAATTTCACAAAAAATTTTTTTAAATTACAGTAACTCGAAAACAAGCGGACCGAATCTACTACCTTCCCGGCCTCACTTTTGACATTAACTTTGAGCAATACAGTGGCTATCTAAAGGCAACAAAAGGCAACTACCTACATTATTGGTTAGTGAAATCACAGAACAACCCTAGCTCAGATCCGATCGTGCTATGGCTGAACGGTGGACCAGGTTGTTCATCGTTAATGGGACTTTTGACCGAATTGGGACCATTCCGACCGAATCCAGATGGTCTAACTTTGAGTGAAAACGATTTTTCTTGGAATAAGGTGGGGGTTTAGACAATTTTAGAAAATTTTTATAGAAATTTGAAAAAAAAAATTTTTGAAATTCTGAAATTTTAAAAAAATTTGAAATTCAAGGCTGCAAACGTTCTGTTCCTGGAAGGACCACGAGATGTTGGCTTCTCATACCAAAATACGACGGAAAACAAGGATCATACCTATAGTGACGAAAAGACAGCCGAAGACAATTACCAGGCCCTGAAGGACTTCTTCAATGTCTACACGGAATTCCAAAACAAACCATTCTACATCATGGGCGAATCGTACGGTGGTGTCTATGTGCCTACATTAACGGAGAGAACAATCAGAGTGGGTTTTTTGAAGATTTGGGGGTTTGCAAAAGCAGGAAAATGTAAAAGATGGGTTTTCGTTGTGGGACCCAAACCTATGTGGAATGTTTTGCCTGAATTGCTTATTTAGTTTTATTTGATGTTAAAATGAGATTGAAAGTGAATATTTTTCTAGAAATTTATTTTACAGTATTCTGAACATGTATTTTTTAGTTTTTAAAAATTTAAATTTTGAAATATCACCTTCAGGGCATTCAATCAGGAGACATGAAGAACGTGAACCTAGTCGGAATGGCCGTAGGCAACGGAATCCTCTCTTCAATCGAACAAATGCGCTCCAACGTGCCACTAATGTACCACCGTGCTCTGATCGACAAAACCGAGTGGGATTCTTACTTTAGTTGTTGTGGTGGTGACTACAATAAACTGGCTGACTGTGACATTACACGCTTTATATTCATCAACGGATCCGGCGACGCTCAACCCAGTGACGGCTCGGAATGCTCACAACTCGTTGGCAGACTAGCTCAACACCAATGGTTTTTGAAGGGGAACAACATCTACAACGACCTACAGGACTGCTACGAACAAACTGATATTGTCTTTGGGTCGATGGAGGGCAAGAAGAGGGAATTCAACGATTGGTTTGGGGGGAGGGTGAGCATGTTTATACTTGTTTATGCTTTGAGGGGAGGGGCGTGGGTGGGGGTAGATATCAGCAGGGGTAGTTTATTTTTTTGAACATAGACAAGGTAAAATTTTGTTGTATTTATTTTTAAACGCGTTTTTAAGAATTTTTTGGGCGGGGTAAAAAATTTGGAGGTGGGGGAGGATTTTTTAGTAGTCATTGTTAAGGGCGTTTTTAAAACAGTTTTTTAATATATTCCTAAACGCGTTTTAAAGAAATTTTTTTTTGGGGCGGGGTAAAAAAAGTTTTTTTGGGGGATTTTTTTTAGGATACGGTAAAACTTTTTTTTAGGTGTGCGGTCAAAATTAATAAAATTTTTTTTTGTTATCAGGTATGTTTTTTTAAATTTTTTTAGGGCGGGGTAAAAAAATTTTCTGGACAAATGTGTGAAAAATGTTTTTTGGCATTTTAGGGAGCGGAAAGTAAAAATTGTTTTTAGTGAGGAATTTTTTAGGCTGTTCTTTCTATTTTAAGCACTACTTTTATTTATTCTGCCCTTTTGTTATCTTCGTTTCACGTATTTTACCACGCTTTAGTCTGCCAAACCTCATGTTGAAGGCCAAGAAGGCGTGAACACGATTCAAAACCTCTTCTCTACCGATTCCCAAGGCGGATTCGCATGCTACGCTAACGCCGCCGCTGAAAAATGGCTAGATACGAACGATGTGCGTTCAGCCCTCCATGTACCATCGTACGTTCAAAAGTGGTTACCATGCAATGATACCATCAACGTCATCTACAAACAACAACACAATGACACTGGAGAGGTGTTCGACAAGATTATTGATTCGCAATACCCCCTAAGGGTACTGGTTTATAATGGCGATGTGGATCTGGGTAAGGGTGGGGTATGGAACGACATTTTGGAGGGGGGGGGGTGGGGGTGGGTATTAATAAGAAATGGCATAGATGGCTGTTTTATGACATAACATGACATTGTTGATAGATATGTGTTAGGAAATGGCATATAGTGAGATATATATAATGACATTTTGGAGGTGGGGGATAGATGTTAAATAAGAAATGGCATAGGGGGCTATTTTATGACATACAATGACATTTCAGACCGATATAAAATATAAACTGGCATTTCGGTCTGTGTTATGACATTAAATGTCACCTATTGTATAAAATGTCATTTTGGAATAATATACGACAAAAAGTGTCATTTTTAGTTGACGCATGGTATAAAATGTCAATTTAGACCGATATGTGAAAGAAAATGGCATTTTACACTGTGTTATGACATAAAATTGTCATCTATGAAAAAAATTTAATTTTTTGTTAATGTGTGGTATAAAATGGCATATATTATTTTGGTTTTATATGACATAAAATGTCACTATAGCCTGATTTTTGATTGAAAATGTAATTTAAGCTTATTCATAACATAAAATGTTATCTAAGGCTGTTCTATGACCTAAACTGTCAGTTGAGGTCGAACTACGGCATACAATGGCACCTGAGGCTGGTCTATGACATAAAGTGTCACCTGAGGCTGACTTATGAGATAAAATGTCATTTCAGGGTGACTTATGACATAAAACGTCATCTGAGGCTAACTTATGATATAAAATGACATATAAAGCTGACCTATGACATAAAATGTCATATAAAGCTGACGTATGACATAAAATGTCATCTGAGGCTGACTTATGACATAAAATGTCATCTGAGGCTGACTTATGACATAAAATGTCATCTGAGGCTGACTTATGGCATAAAATGTCATTTTAGGCATATTTGTGGTACAAAATGTCATTTTGCAAAACTTCATGGCAGAAGATGTAATTTATTTTTTTATCAAACCATTTTTTACTTAAAATTCACTTTTTTCAGCCTGCAACTTCCTCGGCGACCAATGGCTAGTCGAGCGTGTAGCCAAGAAACACGACCTCAAGACTAGCCGCTCCTACAACGCCTGGACTGTCCGCACTCAAATCGCTGGCTACGAAAAACAGTTTTCGAACAAAAACTTCTCCATAGACTTATTGACCGTAAAAGGGGCGGGTCATTTGGTACCATTGGATCGACCAGAACCAGCTCTACAAATGATTAACAATTTCATGGCTGATAACGAATATAGTCGACCGGTCGCAGTGAAAACGAATAGTAGAAGGCTGAAGGAGGAGTATGTCATCAAGGAGAATGTGGGTTTGAATTTTTGAAATTTGAATTTTAAAACATTTTTAGGTTTTTTTTGGTCGATTTTAATAAAAATTTTGAAATTTAAAAAAAAAATTAAAATTTTAAAAAATTTTAAAAAATTTTTGAAATTTTGAAATTTGTTGAGTTTTTAAAAATTTTAAAAATTTATGCCATTTTATGCGTTACCTATAAAGTTTGATATGAAAAAAGGTTTAGTTCGCCAAAGAAGTTGGCCCAACCAGCCCATTGGACACGTTTGCCAAGAACAATCTTCACATCACAGCCGCTCATAAATACTACAACAGAAGAAGACAGGAGTTGAAGAAGCAGAGCGATGTGAAGAGTGGTAAGTACTACCGAACGGGTGATTTTTATGGGGCGGGGCAGGTGAAAAGAAGCGGCTTTGGCTTCTTGGATCTGTTAAGGGGACGGGCTGGGCCTAATTGTTTAGCCCGGCTTTTAAAAATTTGTTTTGGTCCGGTCTATTCATATTGGCCCTCCTTTAGGTTTAGTGGTGAGTACAGTGGAAGTCTTGTGAAACGAACTTTTAGTGGCTAGACCTGAAAGGGGCTTGACTGGGCTAACGCTAATTTAAAACGGGCTGGACCGGTTTGAAATGTTGGCTTTGGCTCATACTCAGGTCAAGCCGGGGCAGTTGAAAAGAAGCGTTTTTGGCTGGATTTTTAGATTTGTTTTGGAAAAGTAACAGGGGGACTAATTTCAGCTTTTTTTGAAAAAAAAATTTTTTGTGGTAGTGGAGAGGTGGGGGTAAAAAATGGGGGGGGGGATGGTTTAATCAAGGATTAGCTAAAATTTTTTTTTTGGTTTGGTGAAGGGCATGAAGGAAAAATATTCATTCTGCTTGAGTTAAGGTATTGCTGCGGCTTTTTTATGGGATGAAAAAAAATTTTAAAAAAATTCGAAAAATGTTGAATTGAAATTTCGAAAAGGTTAATTTTTTTGAAAAATTTTAAAAAAATTATAGTTTTTCACTTTTTATCATAAAACTCAAAAAAGGTTTTTAGAAAAGAACGAGAAACCGACCCTAACCCTCAACCCACCAGCCAAGCATACCAAAGAGCAGGATCGTATAAGCAAAATCAGCGATTGGATCAACTTCCAAAATTCTCCATTACAATACTCTGGATACCTAAACGCTAACGAGCACACTCATCTGCATTACTGGCTAAGCACCAAGGACCAGCCCGACTCTCAAGCACCCCTCATTCTGTGGCTGAACGGTGGTCCAGGCTGTTCTTCGCTGGGCGGTCTATTCAAAGAGCTGGGCCCATTCCGAATGACCAAAGACGGCAAGAAGCTGGACCAAAACCGTTTCAGCTGGACTAAAGTAGGAGATGTACTGTTCCTCGAAGCACCGGCTGGCGTTGGATACTCGTACTCGTCGAATGAAACGGCTGATACTATCTATAATGATGATAGGACGGCTCAGGAGAACGCTAAGGCTTTGGAACAGTTCTTGTTGAGGTTTGAGGAATATCAAGGAAGAGACTTCTATGTGACAGGCGAGAGCTATGGTGGTATCTACGTACCGACTTTGGTCAGGGAAATATTGAGAATCAAAAAGGTAAGCATTTTTCTTGGTTTACTTACAACTAGAGCTGTAAAAGGGGCGGGCCAAATTTTTTAGTTCAGCTTACGGGCGCAGATTTTCCAGTCCGACCTTTTTCATGTTTGCTTTGGCGTGCTCTAGTGAGCCATTTGTTAAATCTACCTACCATTAAGTTGTTCAAATAATTCTGTGCTATCTCTCAAAACATATGTTGGGGATTAAGGGGCAGAATTACTTGAATAATCTAATAGTTGGTATTAGATGATTTGCTCCGTATTTATTTATTTTATTTATTTAATTACTATATCAACCTACAATCAATAATGAGGTACACATAGAATTAACAATATAGATTTTTTTGTGTAAATTACGGCTTTGTATTTGATATTATATTAAACAAGCATTTTTAGAAGTCGAAAAAGGGTTTTCGTGTTGGGACTCAAATTGGTAATCAGGTTTTTCGTGTCGGGACCAAAATTGATAGTCAGGATTTGTGAAAAATTTAGTAGTTTTACTTTTACTTTTTTTGTGTAAAATACGTTAAAACGTCAAGGCTTTTTTCTTACATCTTAAAAGGAGCCGTTTGATAAGCTATATAATAATCTATAATTAGGGTTTTCGTGTCGGGACCAAAATCGATAATCAAAGGTTGTACTATGAGATCATAATATATCGTCTGGGCTTAAAAATATAGTGATTGTTACAGAATGAATCCTCTTCACCATTGCAAAAGTTGAATTTGAAAGGATTTGCGATTGGAAATGGCATGCTGAACGAGTACGACCAAGTCAATTCGGCCGTACACTTGATGTACTATCGCGGATTCTACGATAAGGAGTGGGTTTTTGGGGGTAAAATACGGATGGTTGTTTTTTGGTTGTTATGTTGTTTTTTGATGTACTAGGAGTATGGCATAAAATACAATCTTTTATTTTTAAAAATTAGCAAAAAAGGCGATTTTTTTGAAAATTTTGGGTTTTTTGGCCGTTTGTTGTCATTTATTAATTGTTTTGATTGATTTTTGACATTTTTCTAGAACATACGAAGAGATCCTATCATGCTGCCCAGAATCCAAAGTCAGCCACGAATGTAACCTCACCAAATACATCAATTTCAAACCGAATGGCGACTCGGAACGCACTCCAGGAGACGCCAAGCATGAACGATGCTCGGAACTAGTCGATTTCTATGGATTCTGGAACGTATGGACAAGTGGAATCGATGTATACAACAGCTATCAAGATTGTTATGCATCGGAAGATGGATTTGAGGATTCTAGAAATGGTTGGGGAGAGAGTGGAACAAAGAATGGGCATGAGAAGGTTAAGAATGAGAGAGTTTTAAGAGCAAAACGGTCGATCGGCTTCGACAAGTTGGCTTTGTCTGAAAACTATACGTTTGTCGATCAAAATGTAAGGGTGTTTACTACTGGACTTTAGAAGGTTTTTAGAGTTAGTGGGACGGGGAAGGGACGTCGCTACAATTTTTTTTTCACTGTGAGAAGGGGGATGTGGTGGTGTAAATAGGGGGTGTATTTTTACAAAGACCTTTTTGGGCGAGGGGTTTGGATTTTTTTGGGTATAAACCGCTCTTGCTACTATTTTTATCATTTATGACTATAAAGGAAGATATAAAACTGCTAAAATTAAAGAACATGTTTCGTTGTATAACATGCTTTGCGCAGTCTGAAAACTTAAGTTTAAGGTTTTTTAACTGAAATGGCATTTTGGTGAATAGTTATGGGATTCAGAAGCTTTGATGTATAAAGACTGTTTTTTATTTAAAATTTTTGAAATTTTTAAAAGATTTGAAATTAAAAAAATATAATTTTTAAAATATACTTTGGATAGCTAAACGATATTTTTGTTTAATTAAGTTTTTTTAAACTTGATTAAGCCAATAAATCAAAGTACAAGACTCAAAACTAGTTTTTGGAAATTTAAATTGATTTTGCTAATACAATATGATAATTAAAGAGAATTTTACGCATAACTTTAGAGTTTATTTTATTTAAAAATTTTTTAATTTTTGAATTTTTTTTTTATTTTTTAAAATTTTTGAGTTTTTTAAATTATTCGTAATTTTCTAATTTTAAAATATTTCTTGAAGTTTTGTTGGTTTTTTTTAAAATTTTTGTAATTTTTTGGAATTTCCAGAAACTGTACAACCGCGAATCGACCGACGCCAACGGTGGCTTCCAATGCTATTCCTACGAGCCAACAGAACGCTTCTTGAACCTGAAGGCGGTCAAGAATAACATAAACGTGAATACGAATATCGATTGGACGAATTGTAACGACGAAATGAACGAGAATTACATTCAACAGAACCACGACACAAGACAGGTCTGGGATGATATCATATCACTGTTGGCTGATCTTAACATTGATGAATTCAAGTCTTTGGTCTATAATGGCGATTCGGATATGGCATGTGAATACATGGGCAATGAATGGTTCTTGTACAGATTGGCAGAGGATTATAAGCTGGAGAAGACGGTCGATGAATATGGTAGGGGGTTATAATGCAGGTTTTTGGGTATCAAGAAAAGGGTAGGGTAGAATAGGTTAGGTCAAGTAAGGCCAGGGTATAGCGGGGTACAATGTGGTAGGGCAGGGCAGCGGGTACGGTAAGCTAGGATAGGGCTATATTTTTAATTTTAGAACAGGGTTTTCTAGCCTTATTAGATCGTTTAAATAATTTTGTGCCGTCTCTCAAACCTAATGTGTTAGGTTTAGGAGCACACAATTATTTGAACAGCTTAATAATAGCTTTTAAGATAACAAAATAAAATTTTAGCCATTAAAATGGCAATTTTTCGAGCAAAAAAAAGAAATTATTGGGCTTTGTGGCGTTGAAATTCTGAATTTTAATTAATAAAACCGCTTTTTAGGTATCCACGGTGATATTTAGGTACAAAAATCGTGATTTAGCTAGCGAAAAGGATTTTCAATGGGTTAGAAGTGATGTTTTTAAGATTTACTGGGCTAATATGGAAGTTAGAAATGTCAAAAACAGTATTTTAGGTAACAAATTGTTGGTTTCAACGCAAGAAAGTGCTGTTTTTTAAATAGGCCTAACGAAAAGTGAGATAACGGTTCAATTTTAAAGTATCCTCTCCTCTTGCTTTCTTTCCTTCCTCTTCTCTCTATTTCCCCTCCGTCCTCACTCTACTATTTCTTGTCAAAAAATCTAGGCTTAGGGCCCTAATATAAGATTACTGTAGTTTTTTAAAAATTAAAATTTTTTTTTCAAATTGATTTTCTTTCAGAATCCCAATGGAACGTCACCCTTCCAAAAGACGCGTCGTCAACATATTTACCACGCCGAGCTGGTTCAGTCACCCAATTCCACGGCAAGAAACTGTTCTTGGACTTTGTCACAGTCAAAGGCGGTGGTCACTTTGTACCACAGGATCGACCAGCCGTAGCACTACAAATGATTGCCAATTTCATTCGACAGTCACCAACCGATGTGAAGCCAGTAAATTACAGTACACCATTGGGAGTGGAGGACTTGGAATTGTTCGATGAGAAGCGTTCGAATCGGTTTGTTAAAGAGAGTAAGAGATATTGTAGTAGGTTGCGTTTTTAATTGGTGATTTTAGGCCTAAATTCTGCGTTTTGAGCCTAAGGTAACTACCTAAAAACCTACTTGAAGACTAGAAAAGTCCCTTAAAATTTATTTTAAGCTTATGTCATGGTTTGGAGCCTAAACTAGGCGTTTTAAGCCTAAGGTCTTAACTTCAAGCCCCAGCTAGACTTGAAAAAAGGCAAAGAGAAGCTTAATGGACTTTATTTCCAGTCTAGTTTTAAATTATACGGTTGTTCAAATAATTCTGAGCTATTAAATCACGAAGGTTTGCTTTGAAAGGTGGCTCATAATTATTTGAACAACAGAATAAGAGGTGGACCTCACAGGGGGCTCATTAGGTGGTAGGTGAGGGCTAAAGAAAACTTTAAAAGGTCAGGCTGGCAAATGTGGCCTATGGGCTGGACTGAAAAATTGAACGGTCCCTTTACAGCTAAAGTTGTAGCTAGACTGAAAAACATTTAAAAAAAACTTTTTTTTGAAATAGTCAACAGGGGGGGGACCAAGTTCAATATTTTTTGAAAAAAAAATTTTGAAATTAAAAATATCATTTTTAGCCCCAAGAAGAGTCCTAGATAAAGTTTTCAACCTTCCTGGCCTGACTTTCAAACCAAACTTTACTCAACATTCTGGCTACTTGAATGTCTCTGAAGGCAACTACCTTCATTATTGGTAAGAAGAGGACATTTTTGAATGAATCTATTTTTGAATATTAAAAAGAGGATTTTTTCTTGTCAATAAAATTAGTTTTGGACACAACTGGAAGCTAGAATAACAGGAATGTGCAAAAATAAACAAGGACCTATAACAATATGATTCCCTATGATAATATACCTCATACCTCATTTATAACTTTAGGTATGTTGAAAGTCAAAAACCAAAAGCACCACTAGTCCTATGGCTCACCGGTGGACCAGGTTGTTCATCTCTTGGTGCGTTGTTCGGTGAGAACGGCCCATACTTCGTGAATCCGGACGGCCGGACCCTCTTCGAGAACGTTTACTCATGGAACAAAGCCGCCAACGTCCTGTACCTCGAATCTCCCAGAGGCGTCGGTTTCTCCTATCAAAGCTTTGACCAAAACCGTCAAGATTACGAGTATAACGACCAAAAAACGGCCCGAGATGTTGTGTTAGCACTACGAGAATTCTTCCGAATCTATGAAATCGATGCCGATTTTTACATCAGTGGCGAATCCTATGCAGGCGTATATGTACCAGCCGTGAGCAGAGTATTACTACAGGAATTGGATAGCGAAGATCAGGGTATATTCAATGGTACCGACCTGAGATTCCGAGGATTTTTGATTGGAAACGCGTATTTGAGCCGCAAATCAGCCGTAAGTCGATGGTTTTGACGAATAAAGCAAAGTTTTTGGTGGGAAAATGTCATTTTTGGAGTTGAGCCTTTAAAAATTATGTTTGCTCTGAAAATTCTGACCTAGAAATTTGATTTACATAAAGAATTTTGGTTTATTTTTAGCTCTAGAAGCGTTTGAAAAAGGTATACTTGATCTAGATGCCTAAAACAAGCTTTTTCAAGGAAAAATGATGTTTCGCGATAATAAATTGTGATTTTCTGTTAAAATAAGACTAAACATGAAAGTATTGATTTAAAAATATGTTTTACATCAATATTTTTGGTTTAGTTTGAGCTCCAGAAGGGTTTGAAAGAGGCATACCTGAAGTAGATCTCTGAAACAGTTTTTGAAGGAAAATTTGTTTTTATAAAATAATTTCGGAAAATTGCGATGATCGTATTTTACAATACTATTTCTGAGTTGTTTTGTTCTCTAGAAAAGCGAGAAAAGCAAAAATACAGTTTTGAAATTGCGTTCAAATCATTTGTGACACTTCGCATTTCGCCGGTGACGGCCGCGGCCGTTTTTGATGAAATTTCAAAGTTTGGCGGGAATTTTTGAGGTTTTTGGTGGTGAAATGAAGGAAATACGAAGATGTTTTGAAGTATATTGTTTTAGATAGCTTTTACATTGAATTCAAGAAGATTTGGCCTTTTTTTGGAGTTTTGGGGTTTAAGTCGGGTTTTTTGGCGATTTTTCATGCTTTAACTGATTATATGATGGAAAATTGAATAGATGTGTTGTCGAAAACTTGTTTTTAGCCTTTTTATTAATTTAGGATACTTTTGAGACTGATGTTTTAATGTTTTGGGTTGATTTTTTGTAATTTTTGGGGTAGAATTCGCGATTTTCGGGAAAACTTTATGTTTATGGATAATATCGCTTGTATAAAGATGTATTTTAGGTTCAAATGAATGTGAAAATAATGTAAAAAGTCTTGCTATTATTTGTGAACTTTTTTTAAGATTTCAAATTAGTTTTTACAGTGTTTGGGCCGAAAATTGATATTATCCATGTTCATCCTGGTGTAACAGTTACTTTTGCTTCTCACTGTTTTGTTATGTCTAACATAGTAGAAATTTTACATTTTTAGGAAGCAACAGACCCCGATCTATATTATACACACGGTCTTCTAAGCAAAAAGTAATTTTTTCAGTTTAATTTTTGTTGTTTTAGGTTGTAGTAGGCATTTAAATGTACCTTTTGCAGAGAATATTTGGCCATTCGGGAAAAGTGCTGTATCGAATCGACGAATGAACTGTGCCCAATCGATCTTGAGCACGAGACAAAGGAATGTAAAGCTGCGAAAAAGGCCAAGAGTCGGAACACGAAGCACCTTGACTTCTACAATATCATTCAGCAATGCTACGAACAGACGAAGGATTCAGTGCTGTTGACAGGGGAGAACAATGTGCTTAGTAAATTGAAGGTATATTTTGGTTTTGTGTTTATTGAAGCTTAGGGTGTTTGGTTTTTGTACTTGAACTCTGAAAGTGTCGACCTACTACAATATAACTCCTTATATCTAATGATAAGATAACTTTCAGGCCGACATCTTTACGTCAATGGAAGCCCAAAAGAACGCCAAACGTCATTATCACGATGGAAATTTGGTAGAAGCTGCTCATTATTCTCTACGCTCTAGAATAAACTACGCTTCCACGGATGCCTTTGGAGGTGCACGGTGCTTCATTTTCGACAAAATGACGGATTATTTGAACCAGAAACATGTCAGAGACGCATTGCATGTACCATCGTTTGTGCAAGAGTGGGAAATGTGCAGGTAAGCGGAGATGCTTAGTGTTTTTGAAAATTGTAGTAGGTGGGTCGGTGGCGTTGATATAGATGGGTGTAAGCAGGGCCGGGCGCGAAGGAGGGGGGGGGACCCCCCCAGAAAAAAATTTTTGAAAAAATTTTAACGTGGTCCCCCTGTGGATTTTCGGAAAAAAAATTTTGCAAAAAATCGGCACAGGTACCTGGGCCGATTTTTTGGACCCCCAGACCAAAAGTTCTCGCCCGGCCCTGGGTGTAAGGTATCGTGAAATTGGAATAACGAGTTGACGTTTAACATAGTTACTGTTTAGTAGATGGTCAATTAGTGTAGTAAATATCAAGTTCATTGCTTACTTCAAGAAAAGTTATGGGCTGTTATATAATGTTATAGTAGGTAAGAGATTATTTTGATAAGGATTGATGTATCTTTTGATACAAAGTTGATATAGACTTGATGCTTAGAATAGAAAAACATATGGTTATGATGTTTTAGTGGAGGGAATAGTGCTTTCTTTGCTTAATTTTGAAGGCAGTTCTAGTTGATTTTCGGATATTATAAGGTATGAAGTTGATTTGTTTATATTGTTGTAGATGATCGCCAAAATTAGATATGAGATTGTTTTTAAGAATAGTTAACGATATTATCGTTTAGTTTATATGTGATAAATTGCAACGTGTTTCCTTTATTTTGAGCGAAATTATGATCTTGGATATTATAGTAGGTATAATTATAGCAAAATCGTCAATTTTAGTGATGAAATTAAAGGCAATTACACAATGCAGTACAATACCAACACACAGGACATGACTAATGTCTTTAGCGACATTTTGTACAGTGTTTACGTGAAGAACCTGAAGGACAACTTCAGAATCATGTTGTACAATGGAGACACGGACCTGGTTTGCCATTTTAAGGAAGCCGAACAGTTTGTGGAGAATTTGGTCGATACTTATGAGGGACCTACCAATGTAAGTTGTTTTGACAGGGTTTGGAAAAAAATTCAAAGTTATCATAAACATATCATAAATTTTGATAATTCATTTTGCGTGATTTTAGGTGACAATCGACCGAAAGCCATGGCACACCCAATTGCCAAAGAATGGCCAAAAAGCGGTAGCCGGATTCTTCAAACAATTCAAGTTGGATGATGTTAAACTGGACTTGGTTACAGTCAAAGGAAGTGGTCATTTTGCCCCATTGGACCGGCCTTTGGCTACACTACAGCTGTTTGAGAACTTTATCAACAAAAAGGACGTGGAAACCGTGATACCGTATGGAACTGAAGCTAAAAAGCTATTGGGTAGGGGATTTTGAAATTTTGGTTAAAAATTTTTTCATTTTAGAAAAAAGTTTATAAATGTTACTGTTTTGTGCCATTTCAGCCCAATACACGCCAGAGGTTCAAGAAACAGCCCCACGCCCGTGGGAACCAACTCTCGCTCCGCTAGTCCCGTTTACTACACCCTCCAATACTACTACAACGGCTCAACCCGAAACCACTACGCCCGATTCAGCTTCATCTACATGTATATCTATTGTTGTTACTGTTTGTGCATTGTTGTTTGTGGTTTGGTATTAGTGTTAGGTTGATATTGGCATTTCTGTCACAGACAAAAGAAAAATGTGATGGAGGTGTCATTTTTGGACTTTTTCTTTGCTTCTTATTTAGAATTATTTTTTTGAAATTTCAATCCGCATTTTTCAATTTGTTTGAAAATTTTCGAAATCTGAATTTTTAAAAATTTTTTGATTTTTGGAATTTTTTACACTGAAGTTTTTGGGAAATTTTTAATTTTTTGCCATTTTTAAATACTACCTTGACGAGGTGAAGCTGAGCCTGCTCTCCCTTCTGTTTCCAGTACTCTTAGCGCGGCTAAGCGGGAGGTTCAAGTACTTGTGTTCTTGGGGTGGCAAAGTCACAAGTTTTTTATTTTTTTCAAATTTTAAAATGTTTTTTAAGCTTTTCGATCCGATTTAAATATTTTTTTCAAAATTTTGACTTTTAAAGTCTCTTGGCTTAAAAATCTAAGTCTTTCCAAATTGGAGGCTTTTTTGGATAAAATTAACTTGTGCCGAGTCTGCTCCTCCACTTGTAATATTATGCGCAAGGGACGCAAACAATCAATTTGTAATGCCTTGATAGCGATACCCGCTTGGATGTTGCTCTTTTCTCTTGCGGGGTAAAATCTGGATTCGGAACGCAACCCGACGGTGACGAACCTCTGATAGGAATAGTATCAAAAGCATTTTTTTGGATCCAAAAGCAAGTTTAACTCTTAAATTTTTTATTGTAAATTTGAAAACATTTTTTGGAAAAGTCATTTTAGCACCCAAAAACTTCAAAACTTATCAAAAGAAGTTTTATTTCCCCGCGTCAAAAAGAATTGATCTTTTTTCTTATATAAATCCACGAAAAACCACCCAATTCTTTCTGACGCGGCCTCTTTTGGTCCCTACTTCGTACTTGTTCAATTCCTCTTACTTGGTTGTATTAATAAATTGTTTTATAAAATTAATCTTTGAACCTTTATAGACCCTTTGACAATGCTACAATAAGAATTTACGGCTTCGCCGTTCCGTTCCGTGCCAGAGCCTACTTCAATATATATTTATTTTGTCAAAACGATAAATTGTGGATGAGATCAGTTGATGAAAACGACAAATTTTTGGTTTTGTCAGACAAAAATAAGAAGATAGTACTAGTTTTTAAGGTCGAAATACTGTAACTTTTATAAATATTTAAATTTCTAATATTTTCAAAATCAAAAATTACAGTAATTCGGCCTTAAACTATCAAAAAAGTTACAATAATGTCATGTAATAGTTACCACAAGACTTAAAAATCGATTTAAAAACGTCATTTTATAAATTTTCGAAATTTTTTAATCGAAAAATTTAAAAAATTACATTTTTAAATAGAGAAAAATTTACAAAAATACAAAGAAATTACACATCTTACCAAATAGACTGGTACAGCACCAAATAGTACAAAAATCAAAGTTAAATTTACGCAAAAATTCAAAAAAAAATTAAAAATCTCGTAATTAGTTGAGCAACAGTAATATAACATACAAAACATACGATAACATAGTTGGATTGATATTTACAATGGTCAGAAGGTACAACTACTGTAATGTCTATAGACGAAAAGCAGGGATTACTGTATTTACACCTAACATAATGTAAGGTATTACTGAGTATATGTCATACTGGTAGGACTACAGTATAACATACATATCATAAAAATGACATACGTCTTATCATAAACATGACATAAGGTAGTTCTACCACAGTAAGTTGTCCAAAGAAATCAAAGGCCTGTTAATATTCTGCACATCAGAGTGGATACAAGAATCTGATATTGCTCTAGTCATTGTCAGTATATTGCACTAGCCAGCTAGAGAAGATTAGGAAGGGTATCAGGAATTCGGGTTCTGAAGCCCGTACTATGAGGAATGACTTCTGAATTCACAAAACAATCATCGTAACGGCTTCAGAATCCCAAAACCAAGCTTCATAATCCACAAAAATGACTTCAGAATCATAAAAAAAGGCTTAAGAATCCAAACAAACAGTTCCAGAATTCTCAAAAAGTAATGTCAAACCCAAAACCTGAATCTATGAATCCAAATTTAGCTTCATAATCAATTTGAATGTTCTTAGATGGCCGACGTTCCGCATTCCCGGCGTAGTGGAGGTTGGGAGCTAGTGTTGAAGGTGAAGCGAGGTGGTGAATTGTCGGTGGGTTTCGATGACGTTTGGGAACTGGTTTGGGAACTGATCAACGCGGTTTGGTTCAGTTGTTGAACTGCGTCTGGAATGACAAACTTAAAAAACTCAAAAAAATTTTTTTTTTCAAAATTTTAAAATTTTTAAATTTACAGGGGGGACCAAGTTCAACTTTTCAAAAAAAAATCATTTTTACCCCCCCCCCCCCGCCCATGCCCATGCCCAAAATCAAAACTCACTCTCCAGAGCCTGCTCCTGATCCACAAACTTCATTTGCATTTGTTGTCGCCACCTGGCCAGTTGATTCAGTTGGGCTTGGGCCTCGTCGCTGGCTGCTTGAACGATTCGCTGATATTCATCATAGGAGATGGGGTGTCCTTGTCGCCATTCCCCCCATTCCATTGTGCAATTCTCGTCCGGGTACTCAAAGACGGATGGTGGTTCTTGGGTGAAGCAGATGCGACGTGATTCGAGTTTGGTGGTGCGCTTCTGAATGCACGATGAAGTCGTGGCGGCCATTGAATCTTCGATTATTTGGAAGTTTAACTGAAAGAATGACAAAATTAGTAAGATTAATGAGATAATAAATGTTGTATTTATAGTCAAATGATAGGTAAGATCATGGTGAATAAAAAAACGTACAAATCGGATCAAAAATCAATGTTTGGGAACGAAAAAAGCAATTTTATATCAAAAAGCAGCTCAAAACTCATGAATAATATCGAAAGAACGCTCAATATTTTCATTTCCATCAAAGAAAAATACATAAAACCTTGAAAAACAAACAAAAATGTCAAGATATAAACCTAAAAACCCATTTTTGCATTAAAACTCCAAAATTATATTACACTTGACATCGGTAACTTCAAATTTAAAATTTCGATTTTATATCTCAGAATCACAAAATTTTAAGAGCCAATATTATTTTATTCATTATATTCTTGCTTATCATTCATTTATTTCATAAGATTTAAACTTTTTTCAAAATTAAAAACTTTTTCGAAATTTTAAAAATTTAAAAAACTCGAAAAAAATTGAAAAACTAGTCCAATAAGGCTTAGCAGATACGGATAAAATCACTAAAATGACACTCACAATCCTAACACACACCAATACTACTATAAAAACCACCAATACAACCCCAAAAAACCACAAATCCAACCCTAAAAACCACCCTCACAGCCGTCCTCAAACCATATTGAGGAAGGCCTACACCCTTAAAAACCCTATTTCTCCGTCATTTCGCGTTTATTCTGGTCGAATTTACAGCCTTTTTATAAATCTTGACGTTCGTTGCCAACGTCAAAAATCAGCTTAACGTCTAATCACCTTAGAAGCGCGTTATCACACCTTTGATGCTTTCACACGGGGTTACATTACAATTTCTTGCGGAATTATGTTACTAAAGTACTAGTTTTTATACTGATCTTTTAAGAATTATATTACTCATGACCTATGACAGCTGAAAAAAAAGAAAAACTTGATACTTTTTATAATATAGAGTACTGTAACTTAAATTTTTGTTATCAGAAACATCTTAAAACAGACTGTAAATCTTCTTAGTTTTAGTTCAAATCTACCTATCAATTTTTTTTTCATTTTTATTTTTCCCTCAAAAACAAGGTTAATATTATGATATATCAGCACTTTCTTCCCATTTAGCAACATATTAGATGCAGCTTTTCACGTACACAAGACCTACGTTAGCCTCAGCAGTAAACCTATATCATACTCAACAGTAAACCTAGGTCATACTCATAAGTATGACATACCTTTTCCAATCCAAAACCCTTAATTTATACCCATTTTCCAACTATTTTTACTCCATTTTTCGCTCAATTACCCCTCAAAAAAATTAAATTTTGTTCCAAAAACTCCTATTTTCGGTCGAATTTCCTCGTTTTTCGGTTAATTTACAAATCATCAAACCCAAATTTAGGTATCAAATTAAAAAATCATCAAGCTTTTGTTACGAATTTTTAAAAAGTATCCAATTTTAGGTAACAAATTCCAAAATCATCCATTTTTAATAAGGACTTTCAATGACTATAAGCCCCACCTATTAGACTTCAATTTTAAAAACTGCCCAAATTTAAGTAACAAATTTCAAAAATCGTCACTTTCACACAATTTTTTTCAATTTTTCGTTTCATTTCCTTGTCCAAAACCCCAATATCGGCAATTCAAACAAATTTAAACTTGATGCCCTCTGGCAATAAAGTTTCAAACCGCCTTTAATTGCTCGGAAATTGTTCCGGAACGAATTGGAAAGTAAGTTTTTGCAATTTTACTTGTTTCAAACTAATTTTCCACCCACTTTTATAAGGTTTTAATTCAAATCTTAGACCAAACCAAGTTCAAACAAGTCCACCCCCAATTCCCACACTTCTTACACTCACAGAGTATGTCAATGTTAACATACTGAATCAAGAAGAGATGAGAATATAAAATAAAGATGTCCAGGACAATATCATATTACAGTTCAAAGAAGGTATTAAAACAAGAAGAGTAAAGTACCAAAGCCATTTTAAGAGTACGGTAACTCAAATACCTTTCCCAACTTTAAACGCCATTCAAATGAGAACCAATCCTTTATTTAAAAAGATTTTAGGTTTAAAAACCTGAACCCAAGACCACTTTTTACTGTCGAAATTGGCAAAAGTAATCGAATACCTACGTAATTTTAAACGATTGAAATTCAAATTTCCAGAATATTTTCTCAACGCTAAAAATAAAATTTTAAATTTGATATTGCAAGCAAAAAATATCAACAAAATTTCAATTTGTTGCATTAAAAATAATTTTTTTGCCCCATCCTCCTATAAAACTGTAACCCATCCAAAAAAAATTTTGCTTAAACCCTTATCTCTTATATTGCCATATTAAAAAAACTTTTTAGCCTGTTTACCTTTTATTTTTTGAAAAAATTTTACCCCGCATAAAAAGTTTTTTCTTCCTAAACTACCTCTCATCCCCTTCTCAAACTCCCAATATTTAAAGATTTTACCCCTTTACCCAACCCAACTTATTAGACACTCCATGTCAACTACCCGGTCAACAAGTCTAGCCACCCATGCCATAACCCAAATAACCAAAGCGAATAGCTTTTTGAGAGTTCGGAGTGACCAAAAATAGTCTTTAACGTCATCACTTCACACATTGCAAAATTCGGAATTCCGAATGCGTTTGGGTGCAAAAGTAAGTGCTCTTCAGTTATTTTACATTACCATACTTTTGCTTTTTCAATGAGCTCATTGTGCATTCTTTTCAGAGTTTCGAGAAGAGAAGACAAAGTGAATGAATATCAGTTTTTTAGGTTTCAAAATTTTTATAAACTCTCATATACAAGCAGAAAAATCTATGTTACAGTAAAATCATAAAACCAAAACTACAGTAATCTTATGGAAACACTATAAGTAAAAAACTGTTTGAATTTTCCAAAAAACCATACTGAAACCGCTACCGTACCCCGACAACACCAAGTTCATTGTCAGTACCTTCGCACCGTCATTCCGCTTCTGAAGCCCGGACGTCTTAGACATTCAAAACCCTTAGGCAAACAACTTTTTCGAAATAAAAAACCCCTTTGGCGCGTCTCCACACCCACTTGAAACTATGAATAATATTCTCGAAATGGCATCTTCAAATTAAAGCCCAAGAGTTCGGAAGTGTGTGTTCAGTGAGCACATTGTGAGTGTGTCGTCAACACAACATCAATTTCGTTGTTTTTTCAAAACACACATGTCTCCAAGAGTACAGTATTAATGAGGGGCCAAAGAACACATGGGTTTAGGACAAGTGACAAACAAGCCGAGGAATGGCTAGTGGCTGGATGTTTGGGAAGATGACATTTTATAAGTCTTTAGCTAACAGAAAGAATATTCAAAAGGTTTCGAAGAATCAAAATACCATAGTTATCAGAGATCAACCGGTAAAATCAGAATTACTCTATCACATCACCTAGAACCCACATGCAAAAACAAAACTGTAACACAGCCAAACCTTAGTTTATATACGCTCCCAAAACGATTTGTAACCGTTTACGGGTGTGGTGAACAAATGGTTGACCACCACTCCGAATCCCCATCAAAAACCTACTCTTTAATCCCACTTGATTTCGATTGTTTACAAATCGCAAAAAAACAATAACAAAAAGTGTGATTACGAATGCGATTATTATTCGTGTTCACACTGATTCTTTGTGCAGGCTGTGAATTATTTTTTGAAATTGGATCGATAACGTGGATTCTAACTGATATTAATGTATCAGTTCAAGGTAGCGAATACAAATTTTTATTATCAAACTACCTCTAATTTCACAAAGACTAAGCGTCAAAAAAAGTGAACAGTAACTGCCATCAAATTTAGACTTCTATTGTTAACGTATGTTTCAATGTTAATAAAATTCACACTATATCCAAGAACCATCAAAATTCCTGAATCTAAAAAATCAGAATCGAGATTCGAAATTTAAAGAAAGCAAGGCCCTACCATTTAAAAACGAACCAATCCTATTCAACAAAAACCTATACGTTTCTTATTCATTCGACATTACTCTAATTAGACCCCTAAAGCTTTGTTTAGAAATGCTTTGTAAACAATTTCAACATTCATTCTGGAAAAGTTATGAATAAATGTGAGTGCCGTCATTCCTTACTAATTATAGATGCAAAGAAGAACAACGAAATCATGACTCAAAAAGATCGTTTAAAGTTCAAAATATTCATAATCAGAAGCCGTAAAGCATGAAAGATCGTTCAAAATGCAAAAAAACGAACAAGGTTCCTATCATCTCAGCCAAGAAGAAACACAAAAACTCAATCATCATATAGTCAAGGAAGAGCACAAAACTTGAAATTGTTACAATGTTCAAGCTCTGTAGCCATTTCAAGGTTTGTGTTCAAAGACCTACCGGAAAGCCTTCAACAATTAAACTAATAGTAAGAAGTCCACAGTATATCAACTGCTCAATCTTTGACCTTCTCCAACCAGAAATAGCCTTTCTAAATTACAGTATTAAAAACTGCAAAGAATTATCTTGAATCCTTTGCGTCTGACATTTGAGTCAGTTCTCAAACCTTTTAATTAATACTCAAATAATTAAGTTCAGTAAAAGACAATGACTATTATTCTCAAAAGAAAAACTTGAAATTAGCTATGATACTCAATAAGACGGCTCTACATTATGCTAGTCAATAGAAGAACTCTTCATTGCATTTGATACTGAATAGACTGAATTTTGAAGAAAAAGGCCTATTATAATATACTGAAAAACCGTCTGTATATTACAATAGATTATGTGGGTCGTAAAACGAATCTTTTCAACGCAAAACACTGTTACTGTGAGCCAAAAGAATAAAATAATGAAGAAACCTATGAACATTTTAAAGAACAAGACTACAGTAATATCTACCTGAAGAACAAAAACACATCAATATCAAATAAAGAACAAACTTAGAGAGATACCAAACCAACAAAAACCTTTAAACCGTAGACCAACAAGTCAACAAACTAACCAC